CTGTCCGCTCTCAGGCCTGGAAGACAATGGCCCAGCGGGCGGGGGCCAACGGCAGCGACCGTTGCGAATGGCCGACAGGATAATGCGTTTCGCCCCGAAAGGGGAAACGGGGAACAGCTATCTACAGATGCACATCTATGTAGATACTCAGGAGCTGGAAGACAGTCCAAGAAGAGCCACCAATAAAACGCTAACAAAGTGCGTCCGACGCCTGGCATTAGGACCATCTTCAGCCGGGGCAAGGTCAAGTGGTGAGCAGCCAAATAAAGAACAGGACACGAATTTTCCTTATCTAAACAATGAATGAGAAGGGAGCTATGGGACAGCTGCCATTAGAAACATTTTAGGTCAATTTATTTACAAAAGGTTTCTTAGGGGGATAACATTTCTGAATTTACAAGCGATTGTGTTGAATGAACCCATAAATTCAGGAATAAAAATAATATATTCTCTCTACTGAAATATAATATTAATTCTGGTTTCTAGAAAAATTCTCTTTAATCTCTTAAATGCCACTCATTTTTACATATTTTATATCAGTTTACAAAATATCTTTGAATCTTTCCCAGGCCTAAGCTCAAAGGTAATCGTGTCCTTTTACTGCCGCGTAATCGTCTCCATTGAATGCGATCGATCGACAGGCAGTCTGTCCTGACCAAGGCTACTGCCCCAGACAACCAACGGCCTGTCCATTAGCAAAGACCATTCCACTACCATTTTTCTTGTTTTTTATACACATGTCTGGAACATTGACCAACTGGATTCTGTATTTTCTTTTTGTTTGTAAGCCTGCGAAGGCCATGATTTAGCATTTTGATTGAATAAAGGTTTGAAGGTAGCTCCACTAATCAATTGGTAAGCGCGACAGGCTGTCTGGGTTTATTGTGGAAGGTTCTTATGGGGATGGTGAGAGAAACTTACAAAACTTCCTTGTTAAAAATAATGCAGTTTTAGATACAAGTTTTGAAAAATAAATATTGATTTCAATACCGACGTACAACATTAACCTAAATTCTAAAAAAATCCTTTTAGATTTTAAGTTAGGAATTTTTCCACTGACGTTTGTTGGCTTCTAAAACCTATTTAATCGCTAATTCACCATTTTCGATATAATGTACTAAAAATATTGAGAAAATATTCGCAGTTATTATTATTATGATAGAATGAATTGCATTTTATTTAATATTTTATTTTTAGACAAACATTTTTCTGTGAATATTGAATTTCACTAGAGTTTAAGAACCAAAGACGTAGTTACATCTTTTCCATCCTTTTTCCCAGTTGCCACTGATTATTTCTGGAAGCATCGATGGGCACAGATTCCCTTTTGTGGTCTTCCAAGGAAATTCTCCACCTTTGGCACACATGTCCCGTTCCAAGGACGCAACCCCGAAGCCATACGAGTTTCGGTTTCTGGTTATCTACTATCTGGCCTATCAATCGGTGTGTCATAACTGCATTTGGTTTTGTCAGTTTCCGTACGATTTATATTATTTTCCCTTCTTTCCGCTTATCGATTTGCTGCAAATCTGGGCTCTGTCTCTGGAAGGATTCGCAAGGATTAAGCGCACTCAGGCCCAACGATTGCAATCTCATTTGTTTGCGACAATTGTTCGGTTGTCGATGGATCAATACCGATTTCGATGCTTCGATCGTTCCGAGCCAAATCTGTTTGCCTTGTGGCCTATGAAATTGTATCTGATGTTTATCCGAGGGGAGGGGGAAGCCGCATCGGCAAAGGGGAGAGAATAGAATACCTTCCTTCAGAAGTCCCAAGCGGTTGCTAAACACAACCGAAAATTTGAATGATTTTCCTCGAGCCCTCTGCTTTTTGATTAACATTAATGAGCGACAAAAAGTGCAAAAATTTACATGGCAACGACGACGACAGCGGCGGCGGCGGCTTCTCTGGCCCCCCATTGTTGTCCCGGGTCTTTAGAAAAATTTCCATTCAAAGCGACAGGAGCTCGTCAGGAGTCGGACTTGGAGTTGGAGTTGAAGTGGGAGGAGTGTGTGGAAGCCCTCTCTCTTATCCACCTGGGCAACCTATCCGGCGGCAACAATAGCGATTTGGGCATTAGAGCTTCATTGAAATATTTTTTCGCTGCGATTGTCGAGTTTCTTTCTGCCCCAAGACGAGGCAAATCCCCCCTCATCGGCCTGCTCATCATTACATTATTCTCTATCTAACTTACAGTCAGTGCATTGTCAGCGCTTTTTGTCTAACTACTCATTAACATTTATTTTGCAAGTGCAGAGAATACCATGGCAAATGCAAAGCAACTGCCATGATAAATATGACAAACACACAATGCCCAGATAGACAAACAGAAAACAGAAACATACAAAGGCTAAAATGCACTGCGAAAAAAGTGGGTAGACCGGGTGAGGTAAGGGGGAAAACGGGAAAAAGAATGGTCGGAGAAACATGGGGATCCTTTATAAAGCACAAGGGCAGAGGTATAGCTTAGAAAAATATAAAATACTCTAGGATTGACTGTGAGTTGTTGGATAAATATTTTAGATTTAACAGCCTTCTTGGAGCTATTTAAAAAATACAAAATAATAACACTTTAATTATAAAGATCTTAAAATATTATTTAGGGATATTGTTTTCTATATTCAACCGATAAATAAAAGGTTTCCAACACCTAATCTTACACCCTATTTAATTATCCCTTTCTACTAAAATATCCTCTCGAATAACAAACCCCTTTCCATAGCGATTACGGCCATTTTAGGCATTCAGGAGAGTGCAGTGTATAATTACAATGGCTGACTAGCGAAGAATGGGAGAGAGAGAGACAGAGAGAGAGGGACAGGTAGGGAAAGGGAGATGGAGACAGGGCGAAAGACAATGGGCACAGCCAAGTACATAAAGTGCGGGAGCGGAGGTAACAACAGGAAAGCAGAGAGCGAGTCCAAGTAAATGGAACAGTTGCAGTCCATCCATCCATCTGTCCGTCTCTCCACCTGTCCCTTCATCACTCCCTCAGCTCGTCAAGTTGGGGCTGTGGAGAGCAGGCAGAAGCAGAAGCTGCAAAAATGTGCGCCATTGTTTTCAACTTGCAATTGTAGACTGAGAATTGGCGAAAAGGCAGCAAGTACCCCATTTCTTCCTGCCTTTCTCTGGTCCATCTACAACTCAGACCTGTCGCTACCTCTCGTGTTTTCTTTGGTAAGAGCTTAGGTCATTAGAGTCAAATTAAATTAGAGTGTTAGAAGGTAGCTGCTGCTGCTACTGCCTCTGTTTGCATTTGTCATTAGTTCGTTGTTAATTAAAATGAAGCCCAAGTGCTAGGCGACATAGCTCGACTCGCCGGAGTGAATGGAAATCAAAATGCGCTAAAAACCGCCCCGAAACAATGGCAACACCTGCGTAATGCCTTCGCCCACCCAGAGCCACCTACCAAGCCGTCATTCAAAATGGTCTGAAACAAAGCTCGACAGAATGCGGAGTGGAGTTGGTTGGGTCCGGAGAGCGTAGTCCCAAGCTGTTGTCCTGGCAACGACACCAACTCCAACACCAGCACCAAAGCGAATTAACAAAACCATAATGTAGACATGAGAAATGCAATGGAAGGCACTTTTGAAGGACTGCTGGTGGTGATATAAGGCTAATACGAAGCTTGAAAGTTTGTCTATACATTTTTTTTAAACAGAAATGTAACTGGGTATACCCCTTTCAATTTGTTAAATATTATATAGAGTTATTTGGTAAGTCCAGATCTTCATTAGGTGCTTTATTAGCTCCTAAATTCATATATTTTTGCATATATAATATACTAAAGTATCTTGGTAATTGAATTTGACCTAATAGATTTTTTCTCTATAAAAAATAAGTAAAATTTTTAAAGTCGGAATCCAACGTTAATATTTAAAGCCTGAACTTGATCTTTATTGTCTCTGAAAGCTTTAATGGTTTATCTTTGATTATAATAACTAATGCTAATTATAATATTTTAATTTAAAATTTTATATTATTATTATATCTTATATATTTATAGTATAAATTATTATTTAAGTCCTAGAAGTTGGATATATTTACAACAATACATGACCCCAAACAACACCACTCTGCTACCTCAACCATGACCAACAAATCCACCATTTTGTGATCAGAAATTAGCCGGAGGCGGATCGCAGTGTCGGGCGAAAGAGGTGTCAGGCTCAGATCTGCACAGTTCGATTCAGAAATAAATGTCCATTAAGATTTGTTGATTTTGGCTTCGATAGTTTGCTTTTCCCCTTCTTATTGGAGCTCTCTCCGCTGGTCTCTAAGCAAATGCGGTAAATAAACGGCAAGCTCCCCGAAAAGCTCACTCCAATGGGCCGAGTCCCTGGCCCCCAACGCCCCACCACGATTTTCCACTTGGCATTTAATGTAACACGAAGCCTGCCCCAACCAGAAGCATTCCAATTGGAAACGCCCATCATGGGCTCAAGCGGGTCAGAGTGAAATGGCAGCAGCCGCCAGCAGCTAAGCTGGTCGTCTCGCTTGCACGCCCACGCAACACCTGCTTGTGTTTATTGAGCTCCCTCTCGGTCTCTCGGTAGCTCGTTCTCTGTTGCTCTAATATGGGGTTCTTTTTTCTCGTGGTGCGTCAGTTCTTTCCTTTTTTTTACCTTTTTCTTTAACGAAATGTCACCTGGTTGTCGGGCCTCTCTCTCTCTCTCACAAATACAAGGAAACGTAGCACTCTCTTTGGGCATGTTGTGGATGTAGTTTCTTTATGAAAAATATTTAACAAACCAATAAGAAAGAAAGCTCCCACAAAAAAAGTTATGGCCAGAGCGAGAGAGAATGCAAGCTTTTGCGGAGAGGATTGGGGTGCTTGTGTGTGGCTGTGTGTGTGTGTGGAGCAAAAATGTTACATAGCAGCTGTCTCACGGCCCCACCTGCCACGCCCCGTCGCCCGAAAGACCCGTTTTTGGCTCGTGGGTATCTGAAGAGAGCGCGCGCCAAGTTTTTAGTTACGCGTCGGAACGGATCCGTTGAATAGCCGCCAAAGCGCGCTTAGATGCAGCCACCAGCCATAGCCAACTTGGCCAACAAGAGCCGATCAGCCAGCCAGCTAGCGACGGTTAAGCCCCCTCGTGGCAAGAGGCAAAAATAACAGTAGCAGCCGCACCGCAAGGAGACACAATCAAAGCGAAAACTTTTCGCGGACCCCGTGCTATAAAAAGTGAAAACTGACCATCACAAGTTAATACTATCAACCGGGTTTATCAAAAACCCTTTTAATAACAATATATCAATAGAGTGATTAAAACAAAACAGTGTGCTTATATTACCAACTGAAGTGCTCACAAAAAACCCACACGAATGCGAGTCAAAATAATGCATAAATCTAGTAAATAAATCCCCCCTAAGCTACTTACTTCTCTCGTTAAAATTGACGTCAAACAGGCCCCATTGTCTGCAGAACCGAAGAATATAGCAGGCTGTATAGGTATCTTATCAATGAGAATGAAAAGCAAACAACACAAATCAACATAAACTAGTGATATCCAATATGTAAAGTGTTCGGTTACAAAACGGCAACGGCTCAGCATCGTAAAAGTCAACAAATTCAACATTTTATGGCGGATCCGGAGAGTGGAATTCATAAACGCCAACAACAAACCATAAACATATATTAACCAGATGATTCGGTAGTATATTCCGTATATATGCCGCCATCGAATTCTTGAATTTCGAACGCCGGAAAACGGAAAAGCCTAAGGAAATGCAGAACTTTTCAAGGTCAGTTATGAATGCTATAGAAAATATAGCGATTATCAAGAGATATTTTGGATATATCATAAAATTTATATAGGGTTTTAAATTTCCGAAACCTTTAACTGAAAAATAATATTAAGTATTTAATTAATTTGTCTAAAATAAGTTATTGTGATTATTAAGAAATATATTTATATATTTAATTATTATGATTATTAAGAAATATATTTATATATTTAATTCACACACTATTTGTGGTATAATAGGTTTGAATAAATATTAAAAGGAGACCTCCTCTCAGATTGAAAATTGATTAATTTATTCATATAAATCCATAGTAATCCAAATTAATTCGAACGTTATAAATCAATTATAAAAACCTTGCCGCCTTTTTTTTGGCTGGATTTAATTCACTGCCGTTTGAGCCGCAATTTAAAGAACTTTTCTTGGCCATCAATTAGGTAAACATGGAGAGAGCAGCACAAAACGAGTCTGAGTGCCTAAGATACAAGAAGAATCAACAGATTTTATTGTTTGGATAATTTCAGGATTTTCCTCTCTTTATTTTCTGCCCAATCATTGTCGGAATCTTTATGCCGCCACTCGAAGTGTGTTTACTTTTGCTTTCGATCTTCCACTTGAATTAAAGCAAGCTCTTTTTCTTTTCCCGAGTGGGAATTGAGGCATTCAGAGGTTGTTTGGTTAACTTAATTTCAAACTATAACTGAAAACCGATTCAAGGAATGTGAAAAAAGCTGCTATGAAGAGAGTCAAAAACCCCAGAGAATTGTAAATGACGCAATTAGAGCAAATAGTAGTGGCAAAAATAAGGGAAAACTAAGTATGTTTATTAATATTTACCCAACATTTGTGACAACATTTGAATTGTTTGTGACGTGCCCCCCTTGCATAAATGATTCGACTTTGGACCAGAGCCCACAAAAAAAACTGAGCCAATATCTGATGAAGGCCAAACACAATTGTGCAAACAGAGTTTTGTGAAATTATTTTGCTACCAAATGGAAACACAGCCAGATGTCAATCGAATATTTTTAAGCTATTGTCTCGGGCATCTTATTTATTTATTAAATTTGCACAAAAACGACAATACAGCTCAAACAACAGTGGGATTGGCCAAGAATTCTAATTAATATTCGGTTGTATGGGACTTTTGATATACCTACATTTATAGAGGTTCTTATGTGACCATTTTAATAATTAAAATGTATAAATAACTTTAAATTATCAAATTTAAACAAACAAAAGTATTTGTAATATTTTTTCGAAAATTTAAATCTTTAAAAAAGCATTCTGAGCTCTTCTAAGATATATTTTTTTAAGATTATGCCCTTAATTTATTTATTCAATAGATGAGTGTTAAGTACCCTAGAACAGTGGTGCCCAAAAACCTGACTACAGATTCAATACAGTGAGTAAAGAATGTTAACAAATACTAAAAGTTTCAATAATGATATTTCGACACAGGAAACATTTCGCTATTTAAATTGTTGATCATTATTTTATGACAAAAATGATATCGTTTTATGAGCAACGATTCCTTCTATTGTTATTTTCTGCGGTAAAATATATTACATTTAATTTTGACAAATGCTTTTCTCGATATTCAAACTTAGTATTTTGATTATTGCTTTCCTACAACAATAAACTATAAAATCTTAAGCCCATACCTTACCATCTTGGAACTTGGTTTTATCAAAACTTCGCTCTATATGTGGTTGACTTTGTATCATTCCTCTGCCTTGCCCTTGGTTGGCACAAACTTGACACTAAACCGGGGAAGATGCTTGGATATACTCGTACGTTTACGAGGCGATTGTTGCGAGTGTGAAAGTTCTTAATTACAAACATTAGGGGGCCCAGCGGCTTAGGGCCCTGAGAAGATCCGATCCCAGCGGGCGGCCAAGACGACACTTTTGAATGGAGCATCGGCTTGGGGATCGGATGGATGCCCAGAGACGCGATACATTTCAACACAAAGTGGAGACACTTAAAGCTCTACCTGTATTGAGAGCCCGAAGATCGGAGACCAAAGACTGCCAGACTGCAGACTCCAGACTGCGAGACTCCTCTCCTCCGGCGAGGAATCTGGCCGGGGGAGAGATCTCTCGAGCTCAGCATGTGGCTAAGCCGATCATAATTCTTGTTTGACACACCAACAAACGGATGAACAAATGAACGAGGAGCAGCAACAACAAGGCCAACTGGGAGGGGGCTAAGAGTGGGTAGGGGAATGCATGGCATGGCATGGCTTCGCTTGGCCCCCGAAACTCAAGTGGCCGGCGGGTTAATTTCGCTCCTACTGCGATACGAAACAGAGGGACAGTTGGAAAGGCCCTGGGCAGAGATTTCCATGAGAAAGAGTCGGACATAAAGTGTCTGGTGGGTTATCTATTAAAGCTACTACTAGATTAACACCCTGAGAAGACCCACGCGCTTAAGACTTAACGGGTACATTTCCGTTACGAATAAATATCTGGGAAACATTTTGTCTATATGTTGGAGGGACTGAAAGGAGGAGCTGCCATATTCACAGCAAATAAAAATATCTGGAGTGCAATTTGTGCACAGCTGGTGGTGCAACCGTCGAATCGGATGGGGGCCCTGTGGTGCAACTGAAACTGCAACTGCCATCAGACACTACACTTTGGAAAAAGTCATACTATTGAGTCTTGGTGATGATTAAAAATAGTTGGAAAATGTCATCTGCATTGTTTATAATAAATATAATAAGGAATAAATAATTGCAGAAGAAGTTATAACTTTAAAATGTTCAAATATGCTCTGTTAAATTTAATTTAGATTATTACTTACTGTTCAGTTATAACTAAAATTGTGGCTTATTGGTTTCTTCAATTAATGGCGTCCTTATAACTATTTATAAATATATTATTAAACTAAGTATTTAATATTTCTAATTTAAAATCGGAGGTGAGGTGAGGCTGAGTTCAACTTTATGGCTGCACTAGAAAACCTATATTTTCTTCATTTTTCAAGTCCAACTAAAGTTAAAATTTAATATTTATATATTCATCATCCACAAAAGATAGTACATAGTCAGGTTATATTTTCTTTGGGATTTCTTTCTGTGCATCAACCTCAAAACCGAATTGAAAAAGAGGAGCAAGAGTAAGTAAGGCAACTTGACAATACAGAAATTTGTTTGCACTCCATAAGGATTACAAATATGCATGTCCCTCTTCCGCTCTCTGCTCCTCTCTTTCTTTTAAAATAAATTTCATGCTTAATACGCATGCCTGGGCAATTTTTACTTTAACACCAAGTGGGTAATGCCCGGAAGCAGTGCAGATGTCGCCTGGCATAGCGCAAGGCAAGTTATTGACCACGATGCAGGACTTGGACCAAACAGGGCCAAAATGGTGGGCTCAGGGAGAAAAATAAGTGGGATCTCTAAGATAAATATAAATAGGTACAGACCAAGCTCGGTTAGTTTTAAAAGTGGGCAGCGATAGGTAAACAAAATCTTCCAGATCACCTGAAACCGAGTTAAAAAAAATCAACAACGTTATTACTACTAAAATTATAACTATTTAAACTATATAAATAAATAAGTTTATACTCTGTTCAATCAGTTTAAATAATTTTTAATGGATAAATGTCTATATAATAAATATATAAATATATAAAGACCCTTTTTAAAGTATTTATCTTTAAGGATTTATTTATTTATGAATTGTGGAAATACCTCTCCATTCGCCTGAGCAAATATTGAGTCTAAAAATACAATGCACTTAATTAAATTCAATAAAATTCTTCACTGTTTTCTTCTACATTGAGACAGAAGGAAAAGAATATAAATGCCTAAATTAATATTAAATAATTCAAGAAGCTTTATATAAAAAACAGATGTATTGAATATAATGGCATCAGTTATGTCAACTGGGTTTTCAGGGTTTTTATACAAATATATATTGTATTAAAATATTTCTAGCGATAAAGTTTACCAAATGTATTTAAGACACTTGGTTAAATTGGTTTATTTGCCTAAACAAAACATTTGTTAGCCATTCTTTTCGCCAAATAAAATGAAAATAGCTCCTTCAATACAGCTGAAAAGTTCGATTAAAGGAAAATACGTTCTTCAAATACCACAAGTGCTAGGAGAAACCCAAACAAAGGCTACAACACACCTCTTCAAATCGCCTTTAATTAGCTGGCTAGCCACAAAGAAATAATTATAAAATTAATTATTCCAACGACAAGTCGCTGCCGCTCGACCCCTTGTCTAATGGGGCATTGTTAATCAATTAACTAATTGATTCGAGCTTTTAAAAGTATGTCGTCTGTCCCCATTCTTCGGGGACAAAAAACACAAAAAAACAATGCCGAGCGGAGTTGTGGACTCCTGGCCCAGAGACCACTTGCGAGCAGCGCTGGCGGTTGCCACCTCAACTCGACCGAAATGGAACTCGAACCTTGGCTCACTCCACTATCCAGGAACTGGGCCCATTGTGTGGGCCAAATGTCAACCCTTAAATCGGGCGGGATGCACAATAACAACAACAAATGAGACGACTACCACGACGCCGTCGTCCATCCTTTTCATTATGCGACGGAACACTTGAAACCCATTTCTTTCCCATTTTACCATTTTACATTTTTGTGTATTTTATTTGCACCCAAAGCCAGTTGTTTCGGACACGGTGGGTTGAGCTGAGCCGGTCATGTGGCACTGGATCCTTTCAATACCACATGTGCGTGCATTATAAGCGGGATTTACGTGGTCCACTTGATGCCCCGGCTCCTTTAGCAACGTGTTAAATACAGCGAAGCAGGGAAAAGGGTCAAGAAGCCAGCGTCCGGCTAAACGCTTTCAATTTGTTTAATGGTCCCCTTCGGTTTCGGCTTCAGATTCGGATGAGGAGGCCTTCCCCCGTCTGGCCAGGATCTCGAGTGCAATCGAGTGCGGGCGTGCCGGGGACATATGCCCGATGTGAGTCCAAGTACTTCACCCATATGAGCATATTCCATTTGGTTATTTTGGGCTTTTTGGCTGGCATTATCCCCCGGCAAATGTGTCATCTGCAGTAGGATATTTGCATGTTTTCTCTGGCTAGATTTCCGAGCCATTAGGTTAGCCGAAAGGTTAGAAGAATCTATAGATTCTAAGGAGAGTGGTTGGGGTGGTAACTTGTATTTACATAGAAAAGTATCTTTACCTAATTTTAAAAAATGTTTGAGTTTATGTTAACATATTACAATTATTAAAAATATATTAAAGTAAACCCAAAACCTCCTTTTTTTCTCACCCAGCTCAACGCACCACCATAAACTCAACACCAGTTCCAGCTCCACAAGTTCCAGCACCACCCAGTCCGCCCACCGGCTCGAGGGCCACAGATTGAGCCACCGAGCTAGCCCGGCTCCGTCTCCGTCTGCAATATGATGGAACGTCTGTCCACGCACCTGTCGCTCACCGGCCTATCGCTCGCTCACCCCCTTCAGTCGCACCTGAGTTCCGGCAGTGGAACCCACCACCTTGGACAACTGGCGGCGGCGGTGCAGCAGCACCACCAGCATCACCAGCAGCAGCAACAGCAGCAGCAGCAGCAGTCTGACCTAGGCCACTCGCACCACCTGCACTCGGGCCAGCAGCTTTCGCTGAGCCACCAGCACCACCACGCCCACCAGTCGCCGCAGCATCAGCAGCAGCTTCAGCACCATCCGTGTAGCAGCAATAGCAGCAACGGCTCGCCAAACGGTTCCGCCGGCCTAAGTCTGCACCCCCACTCGGCGCTCCACCTGGCGCATCACCACCCGCAGCTGCACCAGCACCACTCCTCGGGTCAGCAGCCGCAGCAACAGCAGGGCAGCCAGCCGGCGGTGTCGTCCTCTTCCGGATCCCATCACAGCCAGCCGCTGTCGCTGTCCCATCAGCCGCACACCAGCAACGGAAGCTCCCAGCTGGGCGGCGGAGCGGGTTCTGGTTCTGGTGGATCAGCCAATAGCCACCACAGTGCTCCGGCCTCCAGCAGCGTGATGGCCGCCGCAGCAGCCGCCCATTTGCACCACAATTCACAGGCGTCGCCGATCAGCAATTTGCACCAGAATATGGGCAGCCTCATGAACAGCGGCAGCAGTGCCAGGTGAGTTGATGAAGAAGGTAGATGAAGAGCCATTAGGAATAAATACCTACGACTTTTTTTTAAGTTAGAGCATTTAATTTTAAAGTCAGTTCGAGAAATCGTTTGAAGATTCTTATGAATAAATTAAATATCGGGTATTTTAAATCCACTTTCCTATTTGATTTTATACAAATTTCTTTTATTTCATCTTGCAGCGATGTATTTTTCAGCCTGATGATCCAGAACACAACGAAACGTCAGAACGAGGAGCACATAAAAAGACCCATGAACGCCTTTATGGTGTGGTCGCGACTCCAGAGACGTAAGATAGCTCAGGATAATCCAAAAATGCACAATTCGGAAATATCCAAGAGACTGGGTAAGCTTTGTTTGATGTAATATAATTTAACGGAAAGCTCTGTCACCCATATATAGTCTATACAATGTTTATAATATTTAAACGTAATTGTTCAAGAAGTATAAACAAAATAGGGAAATTATTGGGAAAACCAGCGTTTTTATATTCCTCCAAACTCTGTTATTTCATATCCACTTAATAGGATTCATTGGCTCCCAAGAAAACCCAACCCCACACATAGTAAGAGCCACAATGGCTTCCTCAAAAGCTGTTATATTCCCTGAACAAATAAACTATTTAAGTCCCATGCCAAAGCCCACTTCAGTTTCTCTTTTTGTGTGTGTTTTGTGTAACACAAGCCACGAAAATCTCAATTATCTGTTGGCAGCGTTCCTGCCATTCGGAATGTGTTTAATCTGGGCACAAAGGATGGGGCAATATGAAAATACAAAACGAAATTAAAATGCGGCACACGACCTGCCAATCTCTCGCACCCACTCACTCCTTCGCCCTCGTCCCTCCCTCCCTCCATCTTATGCAAGTTAAACTAATCAACGTAATACCCAACTGTACAATGACAATGACAAACCAAAACGCCCGCCACTCAACGCAACTGTCAAAAGTGACAAGCGGCTGTCAAACAATGAGCAGGAAGAGCCGTTCAGGAAGCTGTTGATTACGCCCGAAGAAGGGGTTCAGGTTCGGGTTCGGCCTTGGCCCAAGTTCAGGCCACCACCCACCCGATTTAAGATGATTCGCCAAATCACGGCCGGCTGTCTGGTGGCTTTGTCTCTCACCCGCTTAACTAGTTGCAAAGTTAAGTAGTTTACTTTTCGGAGGGCTCAGAGCGGCGTCGGATAATCCCACGCAAGTCTTATCGGCACTTTGGGTTCGGGTCTTCTGGTCTTTCAGAGGGGACACTGAGAAAAAATAGTACATTTAGAAACCAGTAATATTTATTTTATGTAAAGTATGAACCATTTCTCTATACTGCCACTGCCAGCACAGACTCAATAGGGACACAGTTTAATCCACTTTTATGGCAAGAATCTCCTCCTTTTCAAAGTTGAGGCTAAAGTTAAAGCTTAAACTATTTCAATTTAAAATTTCAAAATATATAAAAAATAATTATATAACTCTTATAACATCCAGAAACCTTGAACTACATTTTTCCCAGTGTCCTGATGTGTAGTAAATTCAATTTCAATGCGTCTCCCACCGACACGTGGCGGCTGACAGGAGAGTTCTTTACCATAACAATGCCAGTTCTTAGGACTACCTTTTTCGATCGGCTCATGCATATTGGATGAGAATCCTATATAGAGATTTGGGGGGAGGACTAATCAGTGGCTTCTGTCATAACAGTGATAACAAAAAAGAATCAAAACCAAAAGACAAACTCATCTTGGCCATTATCGATCTGAACTTTGAGGGTTTTTCCTGTAAAATTTTTTTAATAAAAAAGTCAACAGGAGTTACCCCTGCAAAGCAAATTCACCCACAACTCTCCCCCAGTCAAGCACTCGTTAAATGACTTTTTCTTGCATTTTTATTTAGCCATTGTTTGTGGCTAAACAAAAGCAAATTAAATGCGACTCACTTGCCATCCAGTTGAGCGAACCAAAGAGCAACAACGGGGGAAACTCGCTGCATCTGAAGGATGCCAACAAAGAAAGGGGTGTACTTTTTGCGGGGGTGTGTACTTTTCAGGACTCTCCGCCAAACCTCACTCCCCACAACAGCCGCTACGTTTTCACTTACCTTTGGCTTTCATTCTTGTTTTCTTTGAGTAAACATATCGATGGGAGACAGAAAACTTAAATACAATTTAGAAGCAAACTTGAATTTCGAATTATTTTCCTTCGATTTTCCCTCCTGTTATTGTCGAACTGAAAAGCCTTTGTTCGCCTTTCACATTTTTCTCTTTTTTTTTTGGTTCGCTTTTTGGCAAATCCATTATGCGAATTGACAGCTCCTCTCGCTCGTCCTTTCGTCCTTAGTAATATTTGCTGTCAGTTGCAGTCATTGTTAAGTTTGTTTAGAGCGGGTGGAAAGTAGGGGCTGACCGGGGACGGGAGCCCAGGAAATTCTTTTGTGGCCAAGGTGGAATTGGAGCAGAGTGGGACAAACACAGGATTGGCAGCCATACGCCAAGGATGTTGAAAATAATAAGCAGGGATTGTCCTTTACAGTTTAAGGGTGTAGTTTTGTAGGTGTTTTTTATTTTATAATAATATTTATTCAATATTGTGGCTATTTAGTGTATATAAAAGAAGGGTTGTTGAGTATATTGAATTATAATGATTTAAAAGTCTTTTAAAGTCTTAGGAGAATAATAAGATCACCTGACTTTACACTAATTCCAGAGCATTAATAATCCAACTTTTATTACAAAACAAAACAAAGTCAATTTATTAAAATAACAAACAAAACAAGAACAGAAAGCAAAAGCAAACATTTGCCACATTTACACAAAATGTCAAAGTTTTTTGCACTTGAAAAAAGTTCAGCCAACATTCAATTAAATGAATAATTCAACGGCAACAAGGGCCCGCCGCTCATTATGAGAAATTGCCAAACAGAAAAAGCACAAAAAGAGCGGGGAAGATGATGGCCGTGGAGGCGGAAGCGGTGGAAAAATAACTGTGGCATAAACAAAGGCGCCACAAAAAATGGCGGCGCGAAAGCTACTTTTTCACCACGGCCAGCGCTAGAGCGATAGAGACGGAGCTAGAGCGCCCGAAAGAGACGGAGAGACCCCGTGCAAGCGAGAGGCAGCGACTGGGACTGGCAACTGTTGGAGAGGCTCTTCAGTTTCAGACGCCGTCGCCGCTGGCGTTGCCATTTATTTTATTCGCCAAACAAAAAACAAAGGCGCAACAAAGGCAAACAAAGGCAAAAAATCCAGTATATGTATGAGTGGGGAAAATGAAATAAAATAAAATAAAAGTGAATGTTATAGAAAACAATTCTGGGCTGTGCGCGGGCTTAATTGAAATTGTAACTGTCATTAATTACTGTCTGGAAATTTGAATTACCAACAACACAGTGCGAACAAAAGGCGACAGCAACAACAATAATGCTGCCAGCTTTTCGAGAAAATCTCTACGGCCGCTGCCGTGTTTTGTGTGTGTGTGTTTTCAAATAATTGAAAAACCTGTCGAATCGGCAAATGCTCTCCTTATTTTTAATCAAGGCCTCTTTCCCCTCGCTCCTGCGGGAATATGAAATAATGGCTGACAAAGCCAAGGAGCGCCGGATGAATGAACCATTAGACTCCGCGGAACAAAAGGCACAAGGAGTTGGATGGAAGAAAACAAAAAATACAACAAATATAAAAAACAATCACAAAAGGTCGAACTCAAGCCTTTTCCCACCCCCTCAATCACCTTTTGTTGCTCAATAAAATGCAAACAATTGATTAGTTTGCAATTGGAAAAAGCTTTCGAAAGGAGTTTTGAGGGGGGAAATTATTAGGAGGGGGAGTGGGCGGCAGTGGGCGTGATTGTTATACCACCCGTGGGGTTTGCAATTGACAGGTGTGCGTTGGATTTGTGTAAACTTTTACTTGGAAGAGTTACTCAAATTTTAACGTAATATGATGCTTTGAGGATACTGTATGAATCTTCTCACGACTCCCCCAAACAAAAGCTTTACAAATAAGCCAGATTTCCACTGGCCAAGCACATTTTTACCCCTTGTTAAAAGGAAAACTCCCATCGCTCCAACTGAGGGCATTAAATTGCTGGACAAACAAGTTAATCTCTGGTCGAGTTATGAGTGGGTCCCAGGCCAAACGGAAGCTAAGTAATCCCATAAGTAGCACGATTGTGTTCGAGAGTATTTGGAAAATGTAACTGCAGACCCCAAATCCCAACAAAATAGAAGAAAGAAAATCCCAAAAGAACGAAGTAAACTGCAACTGTTGCTGGCTAAATATTTGCTCTGCGGGTTAGGCGGCCAACGTGCAACATTTCCAGGCCGGAAAAACTTGTTAATTGTTCCAGAAAGAGTCTCGGAAACATCTCACAACTGCCAAGTGCTGGCTGGCTTGTTTTTCCTATCAATTATTAAGGAGAAAACTCTCCGACTGCCTCGGTTCGATGTGCCCTGTTTGGCCAAGGGGCGCCAACATCATAGACATTGGGCAAACATAGACATTGTCATTGTCATATCCCCCCTTTTGCGGGTCTGGTTTATTCAACTGCTCAGCTTGTACTTGCTGTCTTGTTTATTATTATGTCCAGGGCACCTTTCCACCTTCCGGACAGCCCAGCTCCATTCTCTTGAAGGTGTCGTCCCCAGGAGGAGAGTTGCTCATTTGCCGGCCAGAAGCCCAGAAAGGGGCTCTGTCAATGTATCTATAAATTAGTATTTTACCATTATGAGTGGGTGGAAGTCGGAGCTGGGGGCCACAAGAAGCTCTGCCAGTCGTCCCATTGAGCCTTTGTATTGGCCTTATTGTTATAGTTTTTGTGGCCTGTGTGGGCACCAGTCAGAGTCTGGCTCTGACACTCGATTCGCTTCCTCTCTTCGGCCAAGAGTTGGAGTTGGCCCTGTCATCGTTGTCTGTCACAACAATGCGAGAGAGTGGCTTTGTGGCCCGGTGTGTATGTGACATTATTCTGGCTTTGTGTTCGCATGACAAGCCACTAAAATTACGCGTTATAACTAATTAGCGACGTGCCCCCTTCAAGCAATTCATCAACTAATTCACTTACAATATGTCCACATTTTCCTGGGGATTTCTTGGGTGATTAGGGTATTAAAATATTTATCCTGCTGAATTAACTGAAAGCCTCAGTAAAAAGGCAAAGACTTTCTTTGTATTTCCAATTCTCTATTCTCAGTAAAATAGTTTATCTTAAGCTAAAGCCTTCTCCTATCTCCAAGTGAAAGCCAGCTCCTCATTATTTTCATAAATCATTTCTGTTGACTCCTCAACCCATCAAAAGCCTTCTGACACATGTCATTATAACATTTTACATTAACTTAAAAACATTTGCAATTTCCTAACACACAATGGAGGAACCAGCGCCAGAATGGTAGCAAAAGCAACCCCTGTGCCACTTATAGGATATGTCCTTGCTGTGTATCCTATCTGCGTGGCACGTGTACTTGTCTCTGTGTGGGTGTGCCTTGTACACATCCTGGCCAACGCCCACAAGTACGTTCCTACCGCGACCCCTAAGCCATTCCCAAAAGTAACCCGATATCACCTGCTGAGGCAAGCTGAAAACCCGTCTGAATCGAAAGGGGAACCCCGAACAATGGCGGGGCAGAAAGAGACGGTTTGTGAGGAGTGTAGGTGTAGAGTGAGGGGACAACGACATTGTTTACTGTTATCCTTCTTGTGCAGACACAAGGCAAGACAAGAGTTCTGGAGGGGATCGAGATAACCCCCATTTTGAGACAGCTTCTCGAGAGTGCACTCCAATGGTTGTAGCCAGATTTTGACAAGAGTTCCGACTCCGAGTGCCTCGAATGTATCTAATGGATTAACGAGAATTATTTCAATTTCCAGGTGCCGAGTGGAAGCTGCTCACCGAGGAGGAGAAGCGTCCGTTTATAGACGAGGCCAAGCGCTTGAGGTGAGTCTACTGAGTAGGTTTTGGGTGCTGGTTTCTGTAGAAATTATTTATATGCAGGGCCATGCACATGAAGGAGCATCCGGACTACAAGTATCGACCCAGACGCAAACCGAAGGCCCTGAGACGCGATGGCTATCCCTATCCCATGCCATATCCCTCGGTGCCAGTGGAGGCGTTAAGAGCGGGTAAGTCGGTTAATAAATTGAAAAACAAATGAAATAAATTATATAAAATTAAATTAATTATAGTACTAAGTTCCCTTAAAGCCATTATTGTTAATAAATACTCTAAGAACTAATCATTATATACGAAACCTCTATATTATGCTCTCTGAAAAATATCTTAATCTTAAGCAACACGCAAATTCCCTGTTTTAAAAGCCAATTCCACACCAGGACCCTTGAAAATCCATAAAGCAAAGAGCTACGCAAAATAATAATAAAGTTTTGTGGGTAAAGAGGTAGGAGAACACAAGACAAATGCAAATGTGACACGAAATAACCAGGAATTGGGGGTAAGAGCTTGAGGAAAACAAACTATCCCCACCTCATTCTCAAATCTTCCACAACCACCCAAATCGGGGAACCACCCATCTTGGGCTGACAAACTGTGAAGTCATCATCCTGGCTTAGCAACTCATTCGAGTGACAGGAGCGTACCCCGGAGCGGAGGAAGCCAAGCCAATCCAAGCCAGACGCCAGGGAAGAGCTCATCGTCAGACATGAGCCCAGCGCAGGAGCATAAGTTTCCATTCATGATTTTCTATGGTCATGAAACGGGGAGTGGAAGTGGGTGGGTTGTATATATGTATATGTAGTTTCGGGCTCTGGCTGGAGGTTTTAAATTAGCATTTGTCACGTTTTTTGTCTTTTCACCCCGAGCCATCCCGGGCCCTCAATTTAACGCAAGTTTTCTCGGTTTAAGTTAGTGCCAGGACCCTTTGCCCTTAGCGTAGCAGGATGATTTATGCCAGCCGGAAATGATAATAAAAATGCTAGGAAATGCGTAATAAATAAACCGAATTAGTCTATTTAGCTTGCTCGTGGCTTTCCCCTCACTGCACTCTCTGAAAGGAAAGGGATTTCGAGACCAGAAAATGCACTCAACTGTGGAATTAGTAAGCCTGAGTATATCTTAGCGATTTTATGGCAAAATACAAATAAAATATTCGAAAATTAATTGGATTAGCGGGCTGTAAAGCTGTCTAGTTGGGTAGTTTTGGGGATTTAAAACATATTTTTTTTATAGAAGAACAAAGGGTTTTCTGTTCTTTACTCATACATGTTTCCTTGAAACACTAAAACACAACTTAAGCACCATAAATCTGTCTATCTATAAGAGACAATTCATCTTCAGATATCTTAAAGTGAGCTTCCGTTTGTTTACTGCAACCGGTCATTACAAAAAGATCCACAAACAATGGATCAACTGCCTAATCCGCTATTATCATAATAACAATGATGATGGCATCCGAAACCGTCGCTACTTGAAATCGCCAAAGACACGAGTAGAAAGCAATCTTTTTTCGGTAAAATAAATAGTTGTTTCTATAGAAACTTTGTTGTCTAAGCGAATTTAATTGCTCTAACGAAAGATCCCAATTCGGTGGGACTCTCAATCAAGTCCATAGCGCCATCAATGAAATAAATGCTGAAGTTTCTCAATAAGCGGCGCCTGTAATTATCAACTTGGCCACAAAAGGCCGCGAGAGCAGATGGACGACTACCGTTTATGGGCAATTGGTAGTGGCTACCAGGCATCTATCAGATACGCAGATACTCTCTCCCAACTCTGGCATAAAATAGCTGATTCAGCGCCCAATTAAATAGCGCTGGCGACCCCGAAAGAAGAAATTATTATTTAAACGAAATGAAAGAGTTGACCGAACAAAGAGCGCAAATATTTCGAGTGGCAATTATTTTAAACACACACCAAGGTAAACTCGAGTCAAGACGGATCGAAGCTGCAGTTCATGCGTCGAGGTGCACAGTGGTTCAAGGTTAATTGGGATCTTATATACAAATTATTTCATTTATTTTAAGTATTGATAAATAGGAATAATAATAATAATATATTTTTAGAAGGCCATGATCTAGGGGGTGTTTTAAAGCCCTCAAAAATGTGTCTTACAATTATTATTTTATATATAGTTATATTTTTTATGTATTTATTTATGTATATATTTAAATTATTAAATAAAATGTAAACCCAGCCTTAAGTTGATAACCTGAGTCTAATCACTGCCTTCACACCACTGTGCCTCCTTGGCTGTATTGTAATTGTTCTAAACTCTTGCCCCTTAACCCTATAGGCATCCCCCTACCGCATTAAAATTGAACTTAACCCCACTAAAAATTAAAAAACTGAAATTTAAACACCACCAAACTCATCTCATCTCCCTTTATCGTTCGCTTCACTTGCAGGCATTACGCCCGGTTACTTTGCGCCCGGTCCCACAGCGGCTGCCTATCACCTGGGCAGCCATCTCGGCCAGACATCGACGCCGACCACGACGCAGGTGAGTGCCATACCCTTTTCCACCTGCCCCTTGCACCCAGTCCCAGTTCCAGTCGCTGTCCATCTGAGGCTCAAGTGCCAGTACGTCCATCAAAAAGGCTGAACGGTAGCTCAGACCAATTACAGGCGTATATATAGTGTGGTGTGAGCACATGGGCGGAGGTTACAGCGGGGTCGCCTTAATAACATAATTACAAACTCCTACGAAGGACGCCCACTTTAAAAGGCGGAAAACATTCGGTTTGTGGCACAGAGAGAAAAATTACAAGCAGCTTTGTAGTTTAACTCTAAATATGCATTACAAAATATTAAAGAAAAATGTATAGGGGAAATCAAGAGCTTAGGAAAACCATTAGGTCAGGGAATAAATAATAATGAAAATATAAAATATATAAATAAATCAAAATTAGCAGAGGCAAAGCATCAATAATACGAAAGATGCCGACCCATAGGTGAAAAATGTATAAGGAATACAACCAAGAGCTTAGAAAAACCATTAGGTCAGTGAATAAACCATAATGAAAATATATAATATAAAAATAAATAACCAAATTAGCATAGTCAAAGCATCAATAATACGAAAGATGCCGAAAAAATTCCTCGAATATGGATAGATAAAAACCTTATTCGTTGGCAAACCAAATTTCCCATCAAAAACAATAATATTATTTTATATGGGCAATATTTTCTCTCTGTGTGTTCATGACTAAGCGGCAGATCCTGGCCCAATTGAGTTTTCTGACATGTCATGCCAAAGGATTTGCCCGGCAAAGTTGTCATTACATGTTTAGCAGGTCGCAGTAGTGGCGGAACACCTCCCTTTCCTCGCCAGATCGAGTTGATAAACAAGGGCAGGACACACACAAAAACAAACAGAGCCGGACAGGTGGGACTGGTGGCTGATCGAGCCAGAAAATGTCCTTAATGCAGAACAGCTGCCTGGCGAAAAGCTGCAGTAGAATGCCGGGAGTGGTCATGGAGCAGCTAGAGCCATGGGCTTTTGTTCCTCCATCAGATGGTCAGCTACCCAGGCGCAACACCAATTGATTAACAAAGCCCATTAAAAGCCATGACTCTTGATTCGCGGCCATTGTGGGATCTCTTCTTCCCTGGACGATGCCTATTTGGGCCCGTGATTGATGTGGCTTTGCAGATGCTATGTTGCGGGTGTTGAAGACCTGGCATTAACATTCGCCCGATAATAATACACCTCGTGCCGCGGCGATAATAATAGACTAAGTTTAAGCCAAACAAAATCTCAGATTGAGTGATGGAACGAAAGAATGTTTGGGGCCTACAAGAAAATTGCATAGTGGGCGGGATTTCAAGGCTCTGACAGGGCAAATTGCTGACAGCATTCCTGTATAGCTCCCTTTTGTTTGGAACCTTTTCTACTAGCCTTGGTAGTTCTATCTATTGAAAAACAGCAGATTATCATCAGGTTAGACTGACTTCGAAAAGAGAATATAGGTTTATTATTGAAGCTAATTATGACATATTCTTTTAATATATAATATGAAGCAGTTTAATATCCTTGTAAACTTGACTTTTCCAAAGATCTTCTTAGTATTCCCCATTAATATCTCTGCAGGATATTTCCCAACATATTTAACAAATAATAAACAAGGCTCGCTCAATTAACTGCATCCTCGACAATTGAAAAAAATAAATATTGACACAGCTGCCGCCGCTCAATCCTTGGCCAAACACCGTTCTTTACTGTCATCATCATCCGCCACCTGCCCCAAAAGACAACATTACATAACCCACTCAGCCAGCAAAGGGGTACCAAATCAATTAACAGAAACACGGATAAGTAACCGGAACCCAAGGAACCGAGACAAACAGACTATCCACTCGTTAATGCGATGGATCAAAATATTTACGAATCCGCACTAATTCCCAATTGGGTGCAAATCAAATCAAATTGTAATCCAAAACGCTCCTGGCACCGGAGACAAGCCCAAGGGATGTTTTAGGGGGGGCCCAGAACCATCATCCTTGGTGATGATGATGTGTTAACAACATAATTATAGCCCAGAGCAAAGTGTTTGCTTCGGGGAAAAAGGGGAGCGCGCTCTCAACCCCTCTCGGCCGAGAGCAACCACTCAAAACAAAACGGAAATGAAGCAAAACAACCCTCTGATGTGCTTTAGTACCCGTTAACATTCACATTCCCACTACCCCTCCGAGTCGTTATTCGAATGAATAACAAGAACTGGCAACTGGTGTAGCAATGAAAAACGTATTGCAAATCAAATAAAATTAAATTGAGACGGTTTCGGTTTGCATTACGGGGGAGTTGCGTCAGCCAGGGGTTGCTTTCTGTTCTCGATCCTCCTCAGTCCGAATCCACAATTAGTTGGTCAAATAAAGCCGCAAAAGTGTTAAGCAATTTGCACTAATCAGAAGGTTAAGTCACTCCAGGACTTTGCGGTTGAGTTTAAAGGGGGAGTGGGAGTGGTTAGAGGGGGTGGCTTGGGGTTACTAGAGGTTACTAGGGCTTTTACATTGATTGATTTATCAATATTAAAGACTCTTTAGCAGGGCAAGTGGAAAATAGAGTTATGGATAAATAGCTAATAGATATAAGGAAGTATAAGAGAGGTTAATATAAATAAAATTAAATTTTAAAATGAAAAATATAGATTTTACTTGATTTTAGTACCCTTAGCATAGCCAAAGTCTCAGCAAAGAGTGCCCTCAGTCTTCTGATTAAACTTAAGCCTGATATTATAACCTCTTAATAACCTACTCTTCCCTCTCTCCCTAAAGGCCACCCTTTCAGGACAGATGGACAAGTTTGCCCTGGAGCGCAGTTCATATCTCAGCAACTCAACGCAGGCAAGTGCCGCTGCCTATAGCGCCTACCTGGATCCCAGTGTCCTGACCAAGGCGTACTTTGACTCCAAGATGTACCAGGATCGGGCGGCCAACTATGCCTTCGACATATCCAAGATCTATGGTGCCCAGCAGCATGCAGCCGCCCATCACCAACAGCAGCAGCAGCAACAACAGCAACAACAGCAGCAGCAGCAACAGCAGCAACAATTGCTGCTCGGCGGAAGCGGAGGAGGCGGTGGCAGCGCCAGCTCGCACAACAACAACAGCAGCAGTGGACTGGACGAGCGCGATGCCACGCCCCAGCTAGAGGCGGGCGGCGGCAGCATTGTGGTGGAGGCCAAGCCGCACCTGCACTCGCCCAGTGACGTGGGCCTGGACTATGCTCAGTATGCTCAGCAGTATGGCGGTCAGTTGGCCACGGCAGCAGCGGCGGGTGGCGCTGTTGGGGGGGTTGGGGTGGCTGCCGGCACCGGGAGTGGGTCAGGGGGTGGGGGCGGAGGCGCTGCAGACTTTCGGCGACCGCTGACGGTGATCTTCTGACCACCATCTTCCAATGGCAGCGAGGAGTTAAACTTGTCCATGACCTAGGAAAAGCTCACGAAAGAAAGGTGACAAGGCAAGCAAGTTGAAAGCCCAAAAACCTTGGTAATCAATTTTGATCAAATTTGGAGGAGATTTTAAATCAATTATTTCGGGAAGTTTAAAAACATTAAAGAACACATTAAATAATTTAAATACATTTTTAAATATGTAATTTCCATTTGGAAATATTTTTATTACGAAGACCTCTTCAAGAACCTGAAATAATTTTAAATAAATTTCCAAAAACAATATTTAAATACATAACTTTCTCCAAATTGATTAAAATTAAAAACCTTAAAAAGGTTAGAGGGTTAAATACCCTCTAAACAGGGTATAGCGCAGAGGGAATAACGAATACAACCGAAAACGCGAGATTAAAGTTAAACGTAGCCAACATTTGCATGTAAGTCTCCAGTTGTAAACTAACCGTAAGCTTTGTTAAATTAGAGGAAGAAAGCAGCCACGAAGAAAGGGGAAGAAGAAAGGAAACAAGAAGAAAGGTAGAACAAGAAAACCACTTAGCGAAAGAAAAATATAAAACAAAATTCCAACAAAAACAAAACAACAACGAGCGGTGCAATTTTTTATGTTTTAAACGCAGATCGAAGTGCATAGCATAAATTTAAACTTAAATTTAAAATGTATTTAAATTCTACACTAAACACACACAAAAACAAAAAAAAAACACACACACAAGATATATACATCAAAATAAAAAAAAGAAACAATTGGAAAAATCAAAAATAAAAGACACGTTGTCATAAGCAGCAAATTGTTTGATTTCATTTTTGAATTTGTTTAAATAAAAAATTATATAATATAAGGTAAGTACAAAAGAAAATAATTTAGAAAATAGAAATATAAGTTTTTAACCTTAACCTTGTTAACCTAATTTTATTATTTATATAGATAAAAAAAAGCTATAAAGTTTATAAAGAAAAAAAGGATATAAAGGGAATCCAAAAAGTATGCTACACACTGTAGTTTTTAAAACATCCTTAAAAGCAGGACATTTTAAGCCGTATAGCATACATTTTGGGGCAAAGAAATTATTTTTTTAATACTTAATAAAATAACAAAGTCTATAATAATATAAAAATACATCATTTTTAAATTTTAATTTATTCTTAATATTTTATTTAATTAGAAATGTAAAAATAACAATGGCAACGATTGTTCTCTTTCGAATTTTAATTAATTCCAAGCCCCTTTTTTGTCGAGAGGATAAGAAAGTGAGAACGAGTAATTGCTCGTTGTGTCCTTAAACTGGGCTGTGTGGGTGGAGAAGGCCAAAAAAAAACGCTAAACACTTCCCAACGACGGCAACTTCCGGCCAATCAGGTTGACAAAATCCACCAGAGCGAGCAGAGATTGCTCAAGAGCCGCAGCAACTCAACGCTCAGGCTTCAGCCCGGGGCAAAATTACCGTTGGCCACTAATTAATGGCAGCCCAAGTCAAGTTGAGGTGCAAAAATCCAAGTAAATTTAATTAATTTTACGCTCTCTTAGGCGCCGGCAATTAGCGTTAATTGAGAAAGGTCTGCTTCGAGGGTAGGTTAATTGCCAGAAGAGTTTGTCGTTTTATATGTTATTTCCAACATTTAGGAACTACTCTGATTAAATATTTACCTTTTTAAATAGTGACTTCAATAATAAAGAAGTAAATAATAACTAAGTGAAGAATGCAAACAATCATTTAATATAAACTTTTAGACTCATGATTGTATGAATTTATATTTATTTTAATTTATTCAGTAGCTGAGCATTAAATACAATAAAATAATAAAAATAAACAAAATTAATTAATTAATTTAAAAATAAAATAAAATTTGTAAGCCCTGGTTGAAGTCTAGGCTATTATATTTCCGATTTTACCGGTTCAAAAAAGCAGTGACAGTAATTTCGGGTACGTTTCGTATAACAGAAAAGCAGTTCATAAAGCAGTACTTGTTATATAAAGCGGTTTATGTCCACAATTTACTTGGAAATGTCTGGCAACACAGGTTTGTCAGTTAAAATTTAAAAATGTTTAATTTCTGGGTTTTTATTCGTGTTATATCCTTATTTTTTAACACTGTTCGGCTGGGGGGGAATTTCTTCCTTCACTTCCGTAGGATAAGCACTATTAAAAACACTCCCGCGCCGCAGTCGTAAAACACCAAAGAAAAATCACCGCAAGTAAAAATGTACCACCAACGAAAAGAAGTAGTAGGCCGGGGGGGCGTGGTAATTTTCAATATTAAAAGAGTGGACTTGGTCCGCTTTATTCGAAATCATAAAGGTAATTAAAAGTACAAGCTGGAGTGAGAGATCAAACAACTAGGAGAGCGGGAGCGGCCGCTCAGCGATGCGACGATCGGCCAGAGCCGAAGCATCCGCTAGAAGAGCGGGAGCGAGAGAGCGAGCTGAGGAGCTTTGAAGAAGCGGGAGCGCTTCGGAGTCGCGGGGGGCGGGAACATAAGCTCCTGACCTGAACATTCTCCCCCCCTTGCGAGGATACGCAGCAAAATATCAGAAGTCCTTCGCTCGAGAAAGTGTTGGAGTCGCTGAGCGGTCGTCGGCATGTAGAAGTGTGTGATGATCCTGTCCACACGACTGGCATCGGTCGTTACTACGGCAAGATCCTCCAGAATGGTGGTGGGCCAAGCAGTTGACGCAGTATTTCCTGTCGATGACTGCCTGGAGCCGTTTCTTCGCATCAAGCCGAAGAAAACGGTGGCACTTCCGAAGAGGATGGTTCCCTTGACAGACTCGGCATTGGTAGGATGAAATACCTCGGGAACGTCTGCTTTTGTTGTCGTTGTATGGAACCCAGTAGTTGAAGGAGTCGGCGGCATTGGTCACTCGTGTGGAGAACGACGAAATCCGCTGGATAGGTGGAGATATTTGTCGGGTGTCATCACGAGGAATCGGAACACTGGAAGATGAGTCGCTTGGATGCAACAAAGTGTGATGTCGACCGTGGCAAGTAAGACAGTTGTGGGCGCTTGTGCAATTCCGGAGTGGATGACCGCTTGCAAAGCAATTTAAGCACAACTGCTTTTTCTGGATATAAGATGATCGATCGACTATCGTCATCTGAAGGAAGCGTGGACACAAACGCACTGGATGGTTCTCTGCAGAACACAAATCGCATCTTTTGGACGTATGTAGAATCCTCGTACTAAAGGATTGTAGTACTCGTGGCGATGGGTTGGAACTTATCGGTTTAGATGAACGAAAACGTGTCACAGTAGGCTGGAGAGAATCTATGGCTTCCAGAGTTCTATAGCGCTCTGTTAGGAATGAATCAAGTTCCGGCCACGTAGGAATTTCGGTTTTTTGTTCGATGGATTGCTCCCATAATGAAAGCGTCAGCTTCGGAAGTTTTGTGGAGCACAAATAGACAAGGAGGCAATCCCAATTCTCAGTAGAAAGGCCGGAAATTCTCAGCGATGCTAGACAATTTTGGATTGTATTTTGCAGCTCCTTCAAGGCTGCCGAGGATTCGCGTTCAATGGACGCCATGTTAAATAATTTCTTAAGTTGATTGTTTACTAACGCGCGTTTATTTTCGAAACGATCGTGAAGCGCTGACCACGCGGATTGGAAGCCATCATTGGTCAGTGGAGACTTCGTAACGATGGCGTGAGCTTCGCCGCTAGTTTTGCCGTTTAAGTGGAAAAGCTTTTCCACTGGAGTTAAGTTGGAATTGTTCACGTACATGGCCGTAAACAGATCACGAAATGTGGGCCAGCGCAGATAATCTCCGTCGAAGATTCCTGTATTGCATGGCGGAAGATCGCAGCCCCTCGAGAATGTCTCTGGTGGCGGAGCTGCTCTTGCCTGTGAATTGGAGACGGACACGCGGTCAATGTCTTCGCTCAGCTTGGAAGCACATCTTTCGTACACCGCATAATAGTGTTCGTATTTATTTTGAAGTAGCGGAAGATTTCCGCTACTTCCCTCGTGAAGAGCTGCTCTGGAAACGGTCTCATACTCCCGTTCAACCTTTTCCCATAAGGACTGGATCTGATCTAGACGGATCTTTAATGTGAATGAATTGGGCTTGGAAGTGGATGCCGCAAAGATCTGGCTTTCAAATTGGATGAGACGGTTGCTAGTTGCTATAAACTCAAGCATAGCAACGTCTAGAGGGCCGTTGGCTCTGGATATCTCCCTCTTCTGACTTGCGTCTAGGGGAATTGACCTTTGTCCTTCTGACATATTTATATTCCTTAGGGAGTAGGCAGGAGTGACCAACAAAGTAGGTGAATGAAGCTGCTGGATTGAGCAGAATTTTCAAAATAAAGGATGTTCGCAAGAATATGCTGTAGAATTCGAATGGTAGAATTATTTGCTCCCAGTACCGTCAACTAAATCGAAGGAGTAGCAATGTGAGACGGTAAAATCGAAACAAATATGGATTGCAAGAATATGCCGTAGAATTCGGATGGTAGATGGTGGAAATATACAATCTCAGAATTGCAAGTAAATACAGTGGAAAAAATTTACTTGAAGTAGAAGCGACGAGAATCGAAAATATATGTAGTGGAATCAATATTAATTGGAGCAAATGCGACGAGAATGGAAAATTTATTTGTAGTGGAGCCAATATTAATTGGAGCAAATGCGACGAGAATCGAAATTTATTTATATTTATAAATAATTGCGGAATGGAAATGCAGAGTTTTTTATTATTTTCGTATTTAAAATAAATGCAGGAAGGATGTAGATTATTATTATTATGCGATTGCGGATATTTAATCGAGTGCAAAACTTTAAAAGTAATTGTGATTAAGTGATTGATTAATTATTAATTAATTAAAAAAAAATATATTAATTGTAAAGAAAAAATAATTAAATCGGAATGGTGGGATTGGAACACCTGACACTTTTCTTCTGAACTTAATGTTCGTTGGGTTACGCTGCCGGCGATGTAAAGCTCTAGTGTATGCATATGTATGTAAGTAGAAAATTATATGTCGCGGCGGCAGCGGAACTATGCAAGGCGCAACAATGAAATGCACAAAAATACGGACACTGGTTTACAAATTTTTTGCAATATTTTATTCTTTATTTATTGTATTTTTTGATTTTCTTGTTTTATATATTTTTTAAAAATGTTGTATGTAATGGATTTGTATATGTTAATATGGAGAAAATATAATATAAGTATGTATATGGATTTATATTATAGCACTGGATAGCTATTCGTAGGCAGCGGACTGTATTTTGATTGTTAATAAATTCTTTTTATTGGAGTTTTTATTTTCTATTGTGCGACGACATAAAAATCAATATTTTTTATGTAAGCCGATGTATGGACATATGTATGAATTTGTGTTCTCATGTAGGAACCGTTTTGTACATTGATGTACGGATAAATGCCAATATGTAGAGGAAAGCGGACGAAAAGAATATGGCGACGTTTAAAACGGAGACGGATTGAAACCATTTGCCAATTTTATGAAGTGGAAAATAGGAAATGGAAAATTCCTCAACTGCCGTTGTCAGGAAAACTCGCTCTTGGAGTCGACACGGAAAATTAATCTTGCAGCAGAGTGACCGAAATTAATTGTTCGGACTACTGCTGAAGATCGGCAGCGGAGGGGGGCGACGGAATACGGAGTACTTATCTTGGAAGCAGAGAAACGCCGAGAACTGCTGGTGAAGCGGAGTTGTAGAAAAAATCCGGAATCCAAAATCCAAAATCCAATAAAATCCGGAAATCCAGAAATCCACAAATCTGGCTCTGTAGGACCAAAATGTTCGGCTGGGGGGGAATTTCTTCCTTCACTTCCGTAGGATAAGCACTATTAAAAACACTCCCGCGCCGCAGTCGTAAAACACCAAAGAAAAATCACCGCAAGTAAAAATGTACCACCAACGAAAAGAAGTAGTAGGCCGGGGGGGCGTGGTAATTTTCAATATTAAAAGAGTGGACTTGGTCCGCTTTATTCGAAATCATAAAGGTAATTAAAAGTACAAGCTGGAGTGAGAGATCAAACAACTAGGAGAGCGGGAGCGGCCGCTCAGCGATGCGACGATCGGCCAGAGCCGAAGCATCCGCTAGAAGAGCGGGAGCGAGAGAGCGAGCTGAGGAGCTTTGAAGAAGCGGGAGCGCTTCGGAGTCGCGGGGGGCGGGAACATAAGCTCCTGACCTGAACAAACACTTAAGTTGAATTTGAAGGCAAAAATGCATTGATTTCATTTTGGAAAGATTTTCTGAGTTTGTTTTTTCAATTATAAAATTTTTAAAATATTGTTAAAATATTGTTGTTGCTAATCAAGCATATTTATGTACTATTTATAGGCCAGAAATGACTCCTTCACTGCGTTACTAGCTTAGAACTAAAATTATATTACTCCGCAGGGCTATAAAGAAACTAAGAGCTGAGTGCTTCCCGACTTTTAAGCAATTATAAAAAAGATTCCTTGAAATTTAACATCTATTGGTGAATTTCTGTGTGACTATTGAAATATTCCCAGCTCAATCTGCCTCCTTATCATCCACCAACCCACCTCGCGCCTTCCTTTTGGCCTCATTTAAAACACAAATCACGATTAGCGCGACCGCATTTCCCCATTTGCGGTCGAACCAAATAGAAAGGAAGCGAGGGAGCTAACAGAAAGAGAGAGATAGAAGAAGAGAAAGAGACATGGAAAAAGGGGAGTTTCCAAGTATGCAAAAATTTTATGCCACGTTTTGTCGTTAAAATCCCTGTCATAAATTACTGCAACTAAACGCAGCCAAACAATGCTCCTCCGATGGTCTATGGTGGTTCACTTTGAAAATACCCAAAATTATGACGTTGGAGGCGGTGACACGTTGAACACCAGCAAGGAGAGTTACTGGGGATACGTTTCGGGTCAAATTTATAGTGAAAAGAACCTAAGAACATTTAATATTTAATACATTTTGCTTATTTTCATATATTAGCTTAATTTGTGCTAAAATTTAATTTACAAAGTAACAAATTTGAGGACAACATAAATTGCAATGCTGAACACCAAAGTTAATATTAAATATTAATATTTTTAAAAGTCAAAATAAGTAGATAACTCCAGAAAGAAGTTTCTTGTTATATTGGGAAATCAAGAAACAAACTAATTATATTTGTCCTTCCATTTAATTCTTTTACACATTTACTTTATCGATTCAATGTAGTATTTCCCCTACCTAAATATAAATAAATATAAAAGCAAATGAGCTTAAATTGTAAACAAAATATAATTTGTACCCAGTTATTTTTCCTCAGCTGTATGCATGTGTTCCAAGTTCTCCGACTGACTGTGATTTCTAATGCCATCCATGGCTGCGCCGCATTGTGCTTGGCGTTGACCACATAATAGGACCAGGCCAGCCATAATGTCCATTAAGTGGGAACAAATGCTGGAATGTCGGGGTCCCGAACTCACTATCCTGTCCCAGCTGAGAGCAGTGTGCCCTGCCAGCCGATGATAAGGCGCATCTCCGAAACGTATCCTCTCCAAGGACCAACACTTGGCACTTAAGACCACCAGTTGCTGACGCCTTTTGTTTTGGCCCCGTCTGTTCTGGCTTTCGGCCAATAAAATGCATTCAATTCGCATGCAAAACAAAAAGCGATAAAAAACGCGTCACCATTGAGAACGCTTCTAAGCAGCAGCCCCCCTTCCGCCGCCCTTAAATCCTTGGGCATTGTCTACGCCATTGGTCCAAAAAGCCCGACATCGACATGCGCGCAGACACGACGGTGTGAGGGGGTGGCTGGGGGTGGAGAGTTGGGGCTAGGGGGGTGGGGGGTTCACACACACACATACATACTCTCTTTTGGAGCGCTGCCATTTTTATTATTGTAAGGGGGAAAAATGGGGAAGACAGTTGTTGTAGCCGCTAAATGCGTTTCCTATTTAGCATTTGTTTTGCTTGACGTGGAGAGCGCAGTGGGTGGAAAGGGGGCTGGAAAAGTCTACAAAAGTTACGACTCTTTCGAGAGCGACGCCTGCGCAGAAACCTAAAACAAGTAGGAACATATTCTTTTTATGGCGCCAACAGTTGTTTTTTAAAAATTTCATTAAATTGTTCAAGCAAAGGTCATAAATGTAACATAATCAGAGAATGCATTTATTACTATTTAAGAAGCTAATTAAAATTATAAAAGCTATTTTGGTTAGACATATACGCCGCCGCGCCACGCCGCCGCCGCCGCCGATTTTTGCCTTATTTGACGCGCCGCCGCCAAATTATGAAAATAACGGCGCGCCGCGGCGCGCCGTGGTGCGGCATCGGCGCAGCTTCAGCGCGGCCTTCAGTGTCATTGTTCTTTATAAAACTTAAAAAAAAAAATAACTCATTAAAATGGCCTTTTGCCTTATTTGACGCCGCCGCCGCCGGTTCTTTCTGACTACTACGCCGCCGCCGCCGAGTCATTTTGTACGCCGCCGCCGATGCCTTTAACCATCGGCGTAAACCTCTAATTTTGGTTAATAACAAAAACCAATCAAAGTATTTGTTGTTTGAATTCAACTTTAATTGATAACCTTATTCGTTTGGTTCTTATTCCTTCTATTCTAAAAAATTCAAACGATTCGTCATAAGGTACATAGATATATAAAAAAAATTCAACTATGTAAATACAATAATTATTCTGCGAATTTTTCTATCAAACACTGAAAGAATTCTATACAATAAGCAAAGATAATTCCTAAATATTTTCAACTGAAAATTGATTACGCCTGCACCGTTAAACAGATCGACTTGACGGTGTGACCCCCAGATTATTACATAGTTGTTTTTTTTTTTTTTATTTACTCTACGCTATAAACTCGAATAGGGTCAACCCTTTCCAACAGGAAAGCGGCAATGATAAAGAGGGTCATTTATAAGAAATATTAGCAAGTCGAATAAGGTTTGTTATTTTAAGGGATCAAGACTGATTGGTTATTTCTAGATGTAATTTTACAGAAATCGATATTAGGATGAGGAATTTCCTGTATGGCAGACAAGGAGACCAATTGAGCGACTCGATAACAAAGAGGTACCAGCAACCTTACCTCACCGGAATGTTTCTGGCAAACAAAACCAATCAGCTATCGATCGATTACGGAAGCAAACAAGTACATGGTTTGGGGTAAATGAAAGATAAACAATCAAATCGATTTACCATGAAGTAATGTAATCTTTGTATCAGTTTTCGTTAATGTAAACTCTATAGTTTTTATTACATTTAACTTGAAAAGAATCATCTTCTGCTAATAAAATTTTAAGATAAGATTTCTCGCAAAAAATAACATAATATATATTTAAAAATCCAAATAAATATATCTTTTTAGTGCATGCATTTAAGTGATCAAAGATAATAGAATACCCTTTTGGGACAAGATACATAATAAGTATTTTTAAGCAATAGAGATATTATCAGATCGCGGAGAGCAAAATGAACAACGTTCGGCAAACAAGTGAGCAAACACACACTCACACACACACCGAGAACGAGGAGAACCAACACAAGGCGATTGTCAACAAGATACAAAATGCAGATACAAAGATACTCAGATACAAAGCAGCAGCAGCAGCGAAATTCATATCACTCAGCCGCCACGTTGACGCGTCCTCCAAAGGAGCCGTAAAAAAACTCTACAAAGCGTGTGCTCTCTCTCTCTCTCTCTCTCTCTTGCCCGCCATCTCGCTTGCACCCTCCACAGCACAGGCTCTCTCTGTCGCACTCGGTCCTTCTTGCGGCAGCAGGCAGCAGCAGCAACCAACCGAGCAAGCAACCACTACAATGACACACACACCCGCTCACACACGCACACCTCTGCTGCTTCTTGCCCTTTTTTGTACGGGTTTGTTTGCCGTTTTTGTCGCAAGTTTTCGAATGCCACAGAATGTGTTTTCAAATCCAAACTGTCGCGCACTCGAAACGGACGCGTTGCGCTGGTCTAACGGTCAAATAATACCTGCCACGTTCGGCGATAAAGTTGATAGCTCTTGAATATAATATAATATATATTCTAAAAACTCACAGCTGTGCATTTGTGTATTTAGAAAGATCAATTAAGATCATATAATATATGGTGTTAAAAATAGTACTGATCCGTGATTTATTAATATTATAATGAGACCAACGATCGCTTATAAAAAATAAAAGCGGATTTTAATTGTTAATTGAGTGAAATGTATCAAAGGGAATACAAATAGAACCTGTATTTAAAAGGAAATTAATTCTTAAGCAAGGTGAGTTTGGTTCTTTTATGAATTTAAAATAAAGTCAGTGAGTTGGGATTTACCAGGATTACTTATGAATTAACTGAGCGTAAATAAAATGAATTTGAATATTTTGATTTAGCAAAAGGTGATTTCAAAATAAGCGAAAATATTTGATAAAAGATAAAGTGTAATCAAATATTTTAAAATATACTTAATCCGTTAATCCGAATTTACCAGGATTACTTTTGAATATTTAAATATTAAAACAAAATGTAAATATTTAGCATGAATTGAAATGGATTTAAATATTTTGATATGGCAAAAAGTGTTTGGAAATAAGCAAAAATATTTCATATCCGCTGAAGTCGATTCGAATATTTTAAATTTATTATTTTACTTAAGTTAATCCGAATTTATTTTCTTAATTGGATATTAAATAATAAACCTAAAAATCAAATAGGTGTTTTTTAAAACCAATAATTGGAATATGAATACCAGTAAACGGGAAAAATCGTAAATTAATGAATACAAGTTAAAGAGTCATGACTTCTTTACTATAAAATTGTGTTCCTTTAATTTTCTAAATATTGTTCACTTAAGAGCGGTTTCTTAAATACTGAAACTATTAAAAAATGTTTAAAACTTATAAAAAAGACAAATTCAACATAAAACACAAAATACCAAATACAACTTTTTACCAAAGTCAGGATATCACGGGAAATCCCCCAAAACTGAAAGTCAAATTTTTGCTTAAATCGCTTATCAAAAACACAGATAAATATTTACACCTTAGAGTCATAAAAATAAAACCCCGCTTGAGCCCCCTTTTAACAAGAATTAAAAGGAGTAAAAAGGAGAAGCATTGTGCTTTTTCGCGCACCAATCAAATGGCTAAATGACTCATCGAGCAGCAGGCTGGGGTCCCCAAGCTAACAAGGCATATCTATTGAATACCATTTCCGTTGGCATTTCAGGGCTCGAGGAGCAGCAGCAGCAGCAGCAGCAGTACCACCTGATAATTACCACCTGCACTCTGTCAGAGTCCCATTGGAGCCCCCATTGGCATCCCCTTGGCAGCATCATGACGAGCATCTCCGCGCTCCTTCATCGCAGCCACAGCCACAGCAATGGCTACACCAGCAGCGGGAGCAGCAATCACAGCCACAGCAGCAGCCTTTCACCGCAGTTGCCCGGCATCAGTTTGGGCCTGGGTCTGGGCATGGGCATGAGCATGGGTGTGGGTGTGGGCGTGGCCACGGGTAACTCCACAACCCCACCGCCACCGCCGCCAACTGACCTCGCCGTGCCCTCCGCTACATCCACGCCAGTGGCGCCCAAAATGCACCACCATCATCATGCGAGCTCCAACGGCAATGGCAACTCGAGTGCCAGTGCCAATGGATCCCACCACAGCCATGACCACATCAAGCGGCCCATGAACGCTTTCATGGTCTGGTCGCGGGGACAGCGTCGCAAAATGGCCCAGGACAATCCCAAAATGCACAATTCCGAAATATCAAAGCGGCTGGGCGCCGAGTGGAAATTGCTCACCGAAGGGCAGAAGCGTCCATTCATTGACGAGGCAAAGCGATTGCGGTAAGTACTGCTCACTGGGGGTCTCCTCCACAATACAGAGAGGGAAAAATGGAAGGAATATGATTTTAATCAAGTTTTAGAAAAGGTCAAGCTGGCAGGTTAATTATTATTATTATTAATATTAGAGGGAAATTAATTAATTAGATCTAAATAGACCTTTTCTATCAAATAATAATAATAGTTTCTCTCCGTGTAATTAAATTCCCAAGCTTAGGTGGTAAATGGTTGGGAAATTCTAGCTAGGTTTCAGTTACAGCTTTTCCCAGTTGGCAGCTCATTCGCTCAGTCCCTCTCTCATTGCTGTCTGGCCACAAAATTTGATCGATTAGCTAAGACAAAGGCTCACATTGTGAGGAGCTCCTGGGTGCATTGTGGAGCTCCAGAGTCGAGGATTGTGTCCGCTCTGCTTAGTCAGAATTCCATTGGCATTGGCATATCTTGGGTAAACATTTCAATTGAAGTTGTCAAACAAAAGAGAGTGGCAACAACACATTGCATGAAATGCTTCATTCATTTAGCATTCTTCGTTACTTTATTTACCTTTTTGGAAAATGCTCTATAGAAGGAGTTAAAGCCTTGCTAAGGGGGTTTTAATTAGGAATAAAATGTTTTATAAAACCAAAGAATATAGAAAATTTCTAAGGGATGAAACTATGTTGAAGGGCAAGGTCTTCAAGATCTTAAATAAAATTACAAGAAGTATTAATGCCTGGCAAAGACTATCTAAATTAAATGAAGAAATCATAGAGACACTTTGTATTAATTCTAATAAATTTAAAAATCATAACAAATTAACTTACGTGCATTTAGAGTATATTAACTCTCGTTGTTTTACAAAATAAATAGGTAACCTTCTTCTTGTGCTCCTACGATAGTGGTTTCTTTGACGATGACGAACCTCTGTGTTTGCACTGTCATAATCCTTTTATTGATTGGATTGGCCTGCCAAAAGCAAAATGTGAAATTTTATTTTATGTACATTTTATGACATTTATAAATGAGGCAAGGCCCGTCTGAGGGGGCTTAAACTAATGGCTATTCGGGGTTTTCAAGCGAGCATATCGAGTGAAAAGAACCACGAATTTTGTTTAAATATTTGCCAATGCGCGATGATAACGAAAACAATATTTTTTTATTTTGTATTTTTTTCGGGTCTTGCGATAACGCAGACATAACTGACCAAAGAAAGGAAAGCCAAATAAAGAAAGGCGAAAGTAAAACAAGAGCAGAAGACACAAAAACACACACCTTTTTATCAGGTTTTATCGTTTTGTCAAACAAATGTCAACAATTGCGCATTGTTGCAGCTGAGAAACGGAATCGGAATCGGATTCGGACTCTAAAAATGGAAAGGGAATCGAAGTTGGAGTGGGAGTTGGACTGAGTTCTTTGCTAAATACATAAAGACCAAGTAATCTTGTGCATTTTGTATCTATATGTACATATTTATAGGGAAGGGTTCCGATTCCCCTGGAGTTTATGATCTGAGGCACAAACAGAAAATTGTTAGAGAGATAAATATTTAAAAGATATATTTAATATTGAAGCTTTGATCTAAGAAAGTAATAGGGAAAATATTAGATTGAATATATAAATTTTGATATAAGAAAAATACAAATTATATATTTTTCGGATTTTTCCTTTTCCTTTTCTACACAATAAAATCAATTTAAAACCCCTTTCCACCTCATTATTTCTCTCTGTGCCTTAAAGTTTATGATATCATCGCTAACTCGTTCGATCTTTTGATCGGTATTCCAACATTTGTTCAATTTACAGCGCCCTGCACATGAAAGAACATCCCGACTACAAGTACCGGCCACGTCGCAAACCCAAGACGCTGAACAAGTCACCGGTGCCGGGAGGAGCAGCCAATGGTGGCGCGGCGGGAAGCGGAGGAGCTGGTACCACTCACCCCGGCAGCTCTGGATCGGGTGGCTCCTCCACGCCAAAGGACATGCAGCCGCAGCTTTCTCCTCTGGGTCAGACAATGACGCACCTGCATGGACACCATGCACATGCCCACCATCACCCACAGCACCCGCACCATCCACATGCCCACCCACACCCGCATCACGTCCACCTGGCCGCTGCCACGCTGAGCGCCAAGTATGGCTTTGGATCGCCGCTGGAACTGTCCCTGCCCCGTCTGCCCAATGCCTTTCCCGGCCTGGCGCATTACCCGCTGGATCCCACGCTGGCCCTCGACTTGCAGGCCCGCCTCCAGGCCATGTATGCCGGCAGCATTTACCATCCATGGCGCTACCTCCCACTGATCAGTCCGGACACACCGCCCTCTCCGCCCAGCAGTAGCGGCACTGGCATCTCCTCCTACGGCTGCGTCAAGTCGTCCAAGTCCTCGCCGAATCCAAATCCGGCAGTGGGAACGCCGCCGAACATCATTTGACCGACTCCATTGCGCTTCGGCGCCGGCACCGCCGCTGAGCACGCGGTGTAGGATGATTCGGATTTGGATTCAAAAACGGATCCCTCCGGTAATTGGTCACTTGATCACCCCGCCCCGAAAATAGAGATCCTAATGTTAGAGTCTAGTGTTAGTTGAATATCTGAGCGTGTCTTTTGGTTTGGATTTGGATTATGATTTGAGTTTAGTTAAGGAGGCACTTGGTATGACCAAGGACCTTACAATAACAAGATGAGTAACGCTAGGCGAGTTTTAAGTATTTAAATTGGTTAAAACTAAACAAAAAATCTATTAAAATAATTTTTTCTATATTCTTAGGCATCTAGAGTATGCACATGTATTTTTATTTTAAATGGCGTTATGCATCTTGTTATAATAAGGTTATTTTTTATTTAGAAAACTAATTTCAAAATAAAAGCGAAAATTTTATTTTTTAGATATTTTAGTGACCTGTAACTACCGAGTTATAAGCTTAAGGGTACTTTTTGCATTCAAAACTTTGATTATTCTTATTTTTTATAAGAAAGGTTAAGTTATAAATCAAGCTTGCTAAACTATTTTCTAAGAATAAGTACTTTTATATTTTATAGATTGATTTTCTTATAGATATTTTTAAAAATTTCCAAGACTTACAAAATATGATTTCGATTCTGTCATTTTGTTTCTCTTTAGGCTGTATTTCCGTTTCGATTAAATTTAAACTTTCAATTAGTTTAATAAAATTTATTGTTATTTAATTAGGTAAAGTTAGTTAAGAGTCCTCGCTTATTTCAATTATTTGAATTAATTTAATTTGAATTAATTTAACTTTAAGCACATTCCAAATGTTTTTCCCATCAATTGATTAATTCCCAATAGTTGTTATTGAATGAATGAGATATCCAGGAACCCAAAATTAATGCTTTTCAAGTCTTTAGTACACTAGATTTGTTAAGGCAATGTCCACTTTTGTGTAATATGTATATGATTGTAAAACTATATATTTTAATGTGATAAATGAGCGAAAATTAATTGAAAAACAAAAAAAAACTGTAAGAAAATAAACGATTTTTAAACAGCACACGGGCATTAAGCACATAAATGAATACGTGACTTGGTATATGTGATGGATGGCTACATTAGTTCAACATCATCCTGGAAACGTGAGCGAAAATCACAGCTCGCAATCTGTCAGGAGTCACTGCCAAGCGCCACAGGCTTCTGAATAATAACGACAATGTTTGCTGATGCGTTGATTATTAGTTTAAATTGCCGACACGCCGCGAGGGTGAATCTGTTGGATAGATGGCCAGGATCGGAGGGTGGCCATACTCCTTAATGGGATTCCTTCACGCCCACTTGTTTGGGCGACCGACTGTGAATAGGTTACCACTGAGGCGTGTCAATAATTCTCAGACCAAAAACAATTGACACTTTTTTGTCTAACGGCAAAACAAAAGCAGCAACCCACCACTATAAGGGCAAGAGAATGGGAAATGGTAAGGGGGAGTGTTTGGGTGGCTGGATGGTAGGATGGGGGCGGGACAGAGCAATCGCGACAGCATCGTAACCAGCTGAAAAGCCGCACATAAAAGTCACACAAATGCCACGCTGCAGCCAACGAAACTGCTGATAAGAAGCGCCAAGTGCCGAGGAGGTAGCGCCACACTCAGCATCCAAAGCCCACTTTCCACTTTTCTGTTCACAGTTTCACTGACAAAAAATAAGAAAGTAATTTCAAGGACCTGGAAAAATGGAAATAATTTATTATTAACCTTAAAATGTCAATCTACTATATTCATTAAATTTCTATAATCCTTTTCTTTCTTGTAAAGCTGTAGAAAAATAATGTTCCTTTTTACAAATAGTTTCAAGAAACATTTTTAAAGACTTCAAAGAAAATATATATTGTCTAATCTACTTTGTATAATGTTTTATTTAACTTTTAATTTAATTAAGTTTTAAGTTAAGTTCAAGTTAAAGTTGTTATTTATAACCTGTATTTTTTTTCTAGTGTTTATGGTCTGGCAGAACACACGCACATCCAGGACTTATGGGGTGGTGTCTGTGCCGCCTTTTGTTGCCCGCAAGGTCGTTTTTATAGTGTCCTGGCCCTAGTCACAGGTCCACCCGAAACCAGTCCCAGACTCGAACTTGAATAAGCATTTAATGTTTGCATTTGACCTCACCTCCACACAGACAAAGAAGCCGGCGGGCTGAGGGGCAGCTTCCATTCTGGCCAAATCACTTGTGCGAAACTCTGTGAAATGCTACAACAATATTTGTCCAATGAAATTGTAAAGGCAGCGAAGAGCCACCCCCAAGAGAGCAATCCCCCGAAATTTGGTCGACTGTGGGAACTTACAAATTACCAAAACGAGATCTTCTTTTAGAGATCACAGAGCGGTAATTGAATGAAATTGGTTTTTAAAGGACTTAATCCAATAGAGAGCCCTTTTTGGTGTGTTTTTTGTTTTATATACAGGTAATTAACTTAATTTAATAAAAGAGTTTGGAATTGTTTTTGATTAGTTGTTATTAATTCTTATATTTATAATTACCAAAGTTATATGGGTAAGTATTCTCCTAAAATCAATAGAGTTGTTTTTAAGACTTTAAAATGCTTCTTAAAATATGCAAACCAAAATTTTAAAGCACAAAATTTATTGTAAATTTCACTGTGTACATTTTTGTAGCATTCTTTTGGACATTCTTTTTAAAGATATTTATTATATTCCTTACCTAAAATTTAAAAACGGTTCAATAAAAACTACAATGGAATCTGTTGGAGTTAAAAAAAAGGACTTCATCATAAAAATTTCCCCAAAATCATCTCTCTTACCGCGTTCACCACAAACTTTCTTCTTTAATTTTTATAATTTAATAAGTTAAACCCATCCCTTGGGAATATATCAAAACTTTGGACCCTGTTGCTGCAATTATCTAAAAATTTAACGGGTCAACTGCTTGGATGCGTTCCAGGAGCGAAGTCAACGGGCTATCAAAACTAACAGACACGCGTAGCACGTGCAACCACCGACCGCCCGACCCCTGATCTCATCATCATCTAGCTTCACTCACTTGTTTCAAGACAAATAAAAACATTGAAAGCGGAGTCGGTGAGGGGGAAAAATAGCAGAGCGAAAACGTGTGAAATAAAAGTTTGTTTGATTTGCTTTGTGTGGCGGAAGTCGGTGAAGTAGAGAGGGGGTAGTGTTGAAGGGGAATGTTGAAAGGAAGCGCTAGTATCGCGGTGACAAAAGAACACAGAAAGAAATAGGATATTGACTTTAAGAAAATAAGAAATAGCTGAAGATTAGATACCCTTTAATCAAAACGAGAAATAATTACTAGTTTCAAATGTAGATAATCAACTCAATAAGGATTACAGCTGTTAAAATACGATTTTGTTTATTTAAAAAAATATTTAAAAATAAGAAAAGGGTGTAAATTATTACTCATACAAAATTGTAAAGCTTTAATGTTGAATTACAGCTTTTTAAATAATTCTAAAGTTTTGCAATCTTATTTGTTATAGTCTTCTTTAACATTAATTAGAATTATTTCGATATAATTTAAGACTGCATTTTATTTTCAAAGAAATATCCAAAGAACTATTAAATTATCCTGTTTTATATCAGATAATTTTTAGACTATATCAAAATAAAATAAAATTTTTTCCCTGTGACAATAAGACAGTCGAAGGTTTTCCCTTCTTTTCAGCAAACGAAACCCTGAAAACACTACTCAATGCAAGGAATTTTTTTGTTTTATTTTGGCAGGATGCTAGATGCTGGCGGAGGTCACCCCCACACCCCTTGACTCTATCAACACTTCCAGCACACGACTCCTGCTCCTGCCCTTCCTCCCATCCTTTGCTATTTCAGTCCTGGCACACTCACATCCGTTGTGATAAAAAGAAATATTTTCTTTTGGCAGCAGACTTTGGCCTTTCTTCTTCTTTTTGGCCCAATGCTTCATTATTACTATATTTATATTTATTTGCTGTACTTTTTCTTTCATTCCCGGGCACATTCCATTTCATTTTGCTGACTGCTGCTGACTGGCGACTGTTTAAGGTGGCCCAGAGAGCGAAAGAGCCCATTACGCAAAGGATATTGTGTGGCCATGAATCAATTGGCCAATGTCCACAAGAAAAAAAGTTATGCCCGGAAATATGTTGAACCGCCAAAGCGATGACATTCCATTTGCATTTTTTAGATTATTTTTTTTAGGCAGGGACCCGAGGCCAAGGCACCCAACTTAATCGCGTGTAATAAATTTTAATTTTTTAAGCATTTGTAAGCACTTTTATCAGCGCAACAAAGGACGCTTCATTTTTTTTAATGCCAAGCCAGCCGAAAAAGAAGGAAAAAGCCAAAAAGGATATAAGATTAAGACGCCAAGGCGAAGTTGAGACATAAAAAACAACGCCGAGCAAATTAGCCGCCCAAGAGGAGAGCGTGGGGTGGTGTGGCTGCTGGTGACAGAGGGGAGGATGCTGCGGTTTATCACGCCCAAAGCTCGTCGAACGGATATCCGACGCATGGAAGACAAACAAAAAAGGCATTAAATCGCATTTAAGTCAAAGCGCCGAGCGGCTACAAAGCCAAGAACGAAAACGAAACCAAAAACGAATGGCAAGCCCAAAACCCAAAGCCCGCCACGAAGCCAGAAACATCCACCACTTTGTCTTGACTTGGCTCAGGAATCGCAGGAAGAACAAGGACAACTGGCACTCGAGTCTGGAGACAAGGATGTATTTTCAATACTCAAGAGCTTATCACACAGTGTCCTTTGGAGAGGGAAAGCTGTGCCGAAATGCGTGTTAAATGCTAGAGAATCATATCGAAGACTTCAAGTTTAATGTAATGTTAATTTTAATGCAGAACAATACCTTTTAGAGCTATATTTGAGTTAAGAATTTGAGTGTTTTTCAAGATGATAATATATTAAAGAACTATAGAATATAGATTATAATTTCCTTAGAAGGATATAAGAATTTATTTTAATTATTAATAATTCAAATCATATGGCAAATTCTATAATATATTTTTGTGGCTAGCTAATTATGATTCTATGTATTTTTGTTTCAAAATGAATACCAAATACATCTAAGACATAACTTAGTACATAAACATTCCTTTATGACACTTAATTGGCCACCCAAAGCAGCATTCACTGCATTTCAAGAGGTGAATTGCGACCCTTGATAAGGGGGCTATAGCCTATAGGCTCAACTGCCTGGCCTTATTTTGATAGCCTGAAAACCCGGGAGATTACCTCGATCGCTTGGAAACAGCCAAATTGGGAGCAACGGTCAGGGAACTGCATTTAGCATATGTATGCACCAGTAAATTATTCATATTGATATACTGCAGCCGAAAAAAGTGAAGCTACATTGAGGAGAGCAACCGAAATGGGCGAGTAAACCTGAATGCAAAAGCCATGCAACAAATCGGCCATGGCATTACTATGCACATAAAGCGCATTCCAGCAAATGTCCTGCGACGGGAGCAATTAAAACGAGCAGCAGGACGCCGTAAATGCACAATGCCGGAATGTTTTTTTTTTTTACTGCGCTTACAGTGTCGCAAAAAGTGCGTCCCCGTCTGCGGCACAAAGGAGCAATTAATGCGAAATTGTTGCTGCATAATTGCTGAACATGCAGCAAGGGCCGATTGGCATAAAGAAGCAATTAATGCCGCACAAATGCGCTTGGCATGCATAAAAATGTCCAGTGGCAAAAAGCCAAGTAAAGTGCAGCAGAGGCAAATCAAAGCCGCTTTTTTACGGGTCATTTTTTGGCCGGAGACGAGAGCTAAATGTTGAATGCCCGGCCGGAGCTGGCAAACAATTGCAATTACATTAGAAAAGACAGAAACATAGAAGTGATGGTGCTTAGATTTTGGCGAGGTTAGAGATGGCAAAAATAAGGCTCTGAGTGTAAGCAAAGAACTAGTATTTTGTACCTATATTAAGCCATATTTTAAAGTATAATATTTAAATAGAAAACCTAAAAATATTTACAATATTAAAGATGAAAATGTTTGAAAACTTATATTTTAATTTCTAGTTATTGCGTAAAATTCTTATTTAAAAAAATGTGAAATACGTTTTCTAACCACGTCTCAAAATATTTTTAATAAAACCAAGAAATAAGTGTCTATAAATATATTTTAATATTTATTTACTTTTAAATACCATTTAATTTAATTTGAAGTAATCCGATTTTTCTGCGGGTTCTTTGAAACCTTAAACATTTAAAATAACATTGTTTTCTTAGATAACTTTTCCAATTCGATAGATATATGTTCATCCCTAGTTAAAGCTAAGCTATTGCCACCCACGTAGCGATTTTCACTTCCGTTGCATGCCAGGCACATTGCAAAATTGTCGCAGCGCAGACACAACCGAAAAAAGGCAGCAAAAATCGCTTGTCGAACACAAAAGCCACGGACAAACGAATTGCCAATTTAAATGTGAATAGAAAAATTGCATCGACGCACCCGCTCATTGCTCACACGCCCACTCCACCCACACTCCTTTCGTAACACTTGCAGAGCATAGTACAACGCAGTGGTCCTGCCATCCTTTATCCTTTCACAATCGCCAATCACTCACTCACGCGAACAATGAAGCAGCCAAATGCTACGTGGCCTTCATTTTGGTGGTACGAATCTGCAGCTGTTTACTTTACTGCAGTGGATATGGGTACCTCTAAGCAATATTTGCTAGATTTTGCATCTTAAGGATGTAGTAAAGATATTAACAAAACCCTAAAATAAATTTAATCTCTATTACAAAATATTTTCATTTAAGAAAGCGAGCTTAAAAATACTTCTTATTATTTATAAACTAACTTTGAACTTTAGAAAATCCAAATCCAAAGCCAGAAGAACTTGACATTTTTGTATTATTTATGACTGTGGCTTTGTTATAATTTCTAAGCAAATTTAAAATATTTATTAATCAGGCAATTAGTAATAATTAATTAGCTAAGACATAAGCAATTGAAATAGGTCAGTCGGGTGTTATTTTTTGCACATAAAAACATCATGACTTCTTATGGTTATCAGCATTAATTTAAATTTTTCCATTCCCACATCATAGCTTCCTTATTCTTATCAGTAATAAGAATGATGAAATAAATGCTATTTTTTACAGTTAAATAAATCGATTTCTAAGCTAATTTATACTAAAGTTTCCAGCTTGTTTGTTAAAAATAATTATATAAATATATTACATTTGCTGGCAAACACATGCGCCAAACAAAAGTTGGAAGATCGGGCACTGGCTTAGGGATCAATGGACCGATTGAGATAGAACCACAGCAACCAACCAGAGTTTGCCATAAAGAGGCCCAATGCCCCCATCAATTTCGGGAACAATCTGTGACAACAACAACAAATTTAATTGCATAATGAGCAGGCGGATTTTGCAGCCTATGGCCTGATAAACATATTTTCGCCCGGCAAAAAAGGCATTCAACCCAATCGACTTGGGGTTGCAGTCCAGATGATAGCTGGTGTGGGTATAAAAGGCGCAGCAATCTAGCTGAAAGATGCAGTTGCCTGCTGGTCTGTGTCTTAGCATTGTGCCAGGAAGAATCTCCCGAGAATCTACCACCTACACATCTCTAGGACACTTTATACTAGTCAGTGTAAAAAGAGGAGGACAACATGAACTGGATTCTGTTGTTGGTGGCCTGTGCGGCCAGCGCTGTGGCAGCAGGAAGGATTTCGATGAGCCCAGAGCGGGTTCAGGGTATTGGTAAAATTTCATTCAACAGAAAAATAATTTAGTAATTAATAACTGAAATTATCCTTTCCCCCACTCCGCCCCCTTAGAACGCTTGTCCCTGGAGGACCTGCAGCTTCAAAAGTTCATCCTCGACATTGTGCAAAACATTCGCCAGCCGCTGCAGCAGAACGATCTCATTCAGCTGGATCAGGGTCTGATTGTGGACAGCCAGCGGTATCGTGGTGGCATTGATGCAGAGATGCAGCGGGTCATTGACCTGGACCGCCAGCGACGTCTATTGGATGAGCACGAGGTGTACACTGTGGGTCGCCTGGAGGATGTGCAGCAGCTGCGCGGCATCTACCGCCTGCTTGTTCGCTCCCAGGACTTTGATACCCTGCGTCGCAATGTTGTCTATCTGCGCCGCAACATTAACCCCGTTCTGCTGGTCAACGCTTTGGTCCTGGCCATCCGGGATCGCCAGGATACCCGCAACCTTGTCGTTCCTGCTGTCCAGGAGCTGCTGCCCGAATTGTACTTGGATGGGGATGTGATTGAGCAAGTTCGAGGCGTCCAAAGAGAGCAAACCCAGCGGCCTTCGCTCATGGACATCATAGGTCTGCGCCAGCGCCAGCGCATGAATCCCATGATGAACATCCTGATGCCCTGGCGGGAGATCCACATGCAGATGGCTTTGATGAGGCAGCAGAATCGCCAAAACATTCTGGGCAAGAACCGTGTGGTTATCCGCGCCGAGAATCAGGGACAAATTGAGGGCACCTCTCTGCTGACGGACGATATTGCTTTGCGCAACTTTGTCCAGAATCTCATCCAAGAAATGGCTCTGCTGGAGCAGGATTCCCAGGACTCTCAGGAAGATGAAATCCGCAATGTGCTGGAGCGCGACCAAAGGATCAATAGGGAGGAGGAGGATCAGTGGATCGGCCGTAATCGCGAATGGAACAACAGGGAAAGGGAACTGGGACAGGGTGAGGACTCTGGCCGCCTGCTCAGCGTGAACCGCCGCCGTCAGCAGGAGGATCTGCAGGGACAGAGCCAGGTTAACCAGAGGGAGCGCTTCCAGCAAATCCTCCGACGGGATGATGATAATGATGACGACGACAACGATGACGATGATGACAATATCCGCTTGGGACGTGTCCAGGGAGGTCTCCGCACTGGCGGAACTCGGAATCTTCTGCGGGTCAACCGTCGCCGCCTGCAGGAGGGACAGCGCGAGGACATAAACCAAGAGAACGATGATGATGTCCGCATGGGTCGCGTGCAGCTGGAGCGTGGAAACAGCCAAGGAGGAATCCGCATGGGAGGAGTTCAGGAGCTGCCCACTGTTAACGTAAACAGCGACCGCCTGGTTCATGTGGGCCGCCGTCGGATGAACACCATCCAGGAGGATCAGCCATGGGGACGCCAGCGTTACATGGGCATGATGAGGGGAGATCGCATCAGTGAAGGACGTCGCGTTGGCCAGCAGGAGGATGTGCGTCAGAATGACTGGCAGATGACGAGGCAACGCCAGCGCCTGGACCAAAATGAAGAGGAGCGCGAGCAGGGACGTCGCGTTGGCCAAGAGGAAGATGTGCGTCAGAATGACTGGCAGATCTGGCGCCAACGCCAGCGCCTGGATGATAATAAGAAGGAGCGCGAGCAGGGACGTCGCATCGTAGGCCAGCAGGAGCAGGGCAGCTATGCCGATCAACTGGAGAGCGTGAGCCGCGACGATGAGCGCCTGGTGCATGTAAACCGCCGTCGCCTGAACCAGGACATATCGCAGCAGCAGCAGCAGCAGCAGAGGATCATTCCCCGCAGAGTTGGCTCCATTGGTGAGGGTCGCCGTGTGCTAGGAGAACGCCTCATCCAAGATGAGGATATCCTGAAGCTTATCCGCGGCGAAAAGCGCCTTCAGCTGATGACCGACGAGGAGATCCTGGAGATGCTGAAGAGGAACCGCCAGCAGCGTCTGGAGAAGATGCAGAATGACAACGATGATGACGATGACAATGACGACGAGGATGAGGTTCGGGGAACACGAAGCCGCCGCAGTATCTCTAATCTACGTCGCGAGAACACCCGTCGCAGCGAAATCCTCCTGCACAATCTCCGCCAGCTGGTGGCCCGCCTTAACCAAGAGGCCATCTCCCAGGGCCAGATGACCAACCAGCAGCTGCCGTGGCTCAACAATCCCCGCCAGACGCAGTCCGAGAGATACGGCCTTCGCTTGAACCAGATCCGCGTGGACTCCATGCGCAACAGGGAGATCCTTCAGCAGATCGGCGAGATCGAGCAACGCCTCCAGGAGGTGATTGGCCAGGTGGTGAACCGGATAAGCATCAGCTCTCAGCGCGGAGAAATGGAAGAGCAGCGCCGACTGGAGTCCCGAATGGCCGACGTCCTACTGGGTCGCCTTGGCCAAGTGGGCATTCTGAACATCGTCCGTCAAGTAGTCCAGGATAATAGCCAGCAAATCGACCGCTCTGGCCTGGGCATCCGTCTCAGCGATCCAGTGGTGCAGCACACCCTTCGCCGGATTGTGAGGATCGTTGATCAGCAGCGGGAGCAGATGCTCGGAGGCTACCGCCAGGAGCAGCTCCAGATGCGTGGTGTGACCATCAATGATGTGCGCGTGGACAAACTGCGCACACGCATCGAGGAGCACGACCTGGATCTCAGCAATCTGGTGGAGCAGGACCAACAAGTCCAGCAGGTGGTTGTGGGTCGCCAGCGCCGCCTCAACAACAAGCCCTTCACCATTGACATGGACATTACCTCGGACCGCGATCAGGATGCCATTGTCCGTGTGCTCTTGGGACCCGCTGAAGATCAGCAGGGCAGGCAAGGAGTTTCCCTAGAGCAGCGCCGCCGCGACTTTGTGCTGCTGGACGCCATCAATGTGCAGCTGCAAACAGGTCGCAACCGCATCCAGCAGAGGTCCGTTGACATTCCCTGGACAACTCGCGATGTCACTCCTTTGGGTGAGATTTACCGCCGGGTGATGCTGCAGCTGGGCAACAAGGGACAGCAGGAGCTGGTGCAGGATTTGGTAGGCGAGAACGGAGGCTTCCCCCAGCATTTGTTACTTCCACGCGGTCGTCCCGAGGGTCTGCCTATGCAAGTCCTGGTGATTGTCTCGCCTGTGCTGGAGCAGCAGGAGCAGGAGATCGAGCCGGAGATTGACATGGGCATTGGCCGTGCCTCTCTGCGAGATGTGCGTCCTTTGGGTTATCCCCTCGACCGACCCATTGACAACGAACAGGAGCTGCTGCAGCTGCCGAATATACAGATGCAGGATGTGGTCATCGTCCAGGAGAACTGAACTGAACTTAATAGCAGATCGACAGACTGAGTGTAACAATTGGACCCCTCTGAGAAACCCCACAACGAATCCTAGTTTAAGTCCTTCGAATTTAAATCAATTTATATTAGCCAAATGTTGAATACTCTTGTAACTTTTTTTATATTATATATTTCTTATTAAAATCCTTGCAAGCAATGCAAACAAGCATTAAGAATCGGTGTTTTTTGTTGGAAAAGATCCCTTCTACACCTAGAAATAGACCTCAAACCTCCCACAGGCCAAACTCCCATCTCCTCCTCATTGAAAGTCTCACTTTTCTCGATTTTCCCCACCCCAGAGTTGATGATGGTTAAATCATCGTTTTATTGCTCCTCATCCTGCACTCACATTCACCTGACTGACTTTTCTAATTTCGAAAAACAATTTCAATGCAAATTGCATGTCCTTTAGGAGTAGGAGTAGCAGCAGGAGCCGGTAGGGATTACAGGCAGCTGCCACGCCCCCAAACAATGGATGCCAAGGATGGCCAGACAATGCAGCGTCAAAATAGCTGGCAGGCAACCCATCCTGAGACTATAATAGACTTTTCTTATTCCTCTCCAACACAACTCAATTTGTATTTATATATATACTCCAATGTACCCGGATATACTATGTATATATGTCGGTATATCTGGCCTGGCGCAGACGCCCAGCGAAGCGTCAATTGCCAAATTAATTGGCCGTAAAAAATTGAAAATGAAAATATAATCACACTTTCCGTTGTCGAGCACTCACGTTGTCACTGGAGCTGCTGGCTCAGGTCCAAACGGATCTGCCGTTTAACCCCTCTATGTATTCACGCTGTAGAAGCGTTTTCTCATCAGTCCTGGCTATAGAAGTGGATCCTGGAGAGAATAGGGGAATGCTGGGATGGTAAAGGAAGCGAAGGGGACGTCACCACCAAAGGGCGTCAGACATTTCACCGCAGGCGCTTAAACGTTGCATTTTTCCAGCTTGCTCTGCACTCTCATACCTGAGATAATACCCTGTGGAATCATAGTAAGTATGCTGGAATAATGGTGAGTTTAGGTGTAGGGTTATATATTATTTTACTAGATTTTTGGGTTTTATAATAAAAATTATTTTGTTGGCGAAATAATATATAAAAACTTATCAAAGAATAAAAGAACTTTATTATAATTTCTAATTAATAATTCCCAAAATGTCATACTTTGGTACCTAAATAGATACCTCTATATTTTATTTAAATAAATTAAATTATATTAATTTCACAAAAACAAACCACTCACTATTCAATCTCCTCCCATACCCTATATTTTTCCATCCCACCTTCAACATGGAGGAACAAGGAGAAATGTGGCACGTTGCATAATGGAAAAATTTTCGCACTCGACCTGATACTGTTTCCCCAACTCGTGCCGCCTCAATGCACTTTCATTATCTTCGAGTGGTTTGCCGTTCATTTCATTTCATTTTGCTGCCAACCGTTGTTGATGTGCCCTTTCAGTCGTTTTTGTACTTTTTGTACTTTGCTATATAAAATTTAAAATGTTGTTTTCTTTAGTTTTTCAAAGTCTGTCGAGCTGATTAGGGGTTTGGATTCCTGGAGTTGGGGAATTACACGAGCTATTAGGCAGCCGCTTAATGCGAAAGTAATTATGTCTTGTTAATCAGACTGAGGCTGTGTGGGGTCAAAGGGTATTTAACCCGTAAGTTTATCCGGGGGAGAGCCCTGCGTCTTGAAGGTAGCTGAAAACCGAAAACTTTTGTGATTAGCAAGCGCCCTTTGCCGCGGTGCAGATAGCGTCTTGAGAAAAGCTGGAGAGGTTAGCACTTGAAAAAATTAAGGTAATGTTAAAAAAAAAAAAATTATAAAAGGTATTAAATAGTTAAGGAACTGTAAATTAATGTAATATATTAGAAAATATTTTTAAGTAAACATAAAATAAGTCTAAGGACAATGTTTGCTTCAGAGCAAGTCATAAAGTCATTCTACATATTTATAAACATTACCTTTAATTTAATAAGAAATTTCCATTCTTATCCCAGTGTAACTCCTCCGGAAATGCTTGTATAATTTATGTTCTGCCTTGGCGCTGTGCAACGGAAATGCCGGCGCGTAGTTTTGCCGCGCCTACAAACTCCTTCTGATGTTTGCACAAATTTCGTAGCATACTATTCAGCGGCAAAACTTTTGGCACGCAAATTAGCGGCCACGTTTGTTTCGCTGGGGGAAATAGTCAGGGGGACGAAGGAGGAGCATCCCATAGCTTGTTGCAAAAACTTTTTCAGTTATGAATATAAAGTTTATTTATTAAGCAAACAAGTTGGCAGCCTTATCTATGCCGTGTCCTCTGATGGTCCTTTCTCCCGTCAGTTCTTTTTGTGGCTGGCAAACAATTTCGCAGTTGGTTGAGCATTCTAGTGCGAAATGGTAAGAAAGTTGTGGGTGAAACGCAAAAATTCGCCTGAATGGTGAGAGGAATTAACTGAACGACTCTTTTCCAAAAGTTCTGAAGAATAGAACGTGAAGGTTTCTTGTGCCATTTACTGATAATATTTTGGAAAGGAAATTTGGAGGAAGAAAAGAGAATTTCTTAATTCTAAAAATGTAATAGAAATTAAACCAAAGCAATTAAACTAGATACAAGTTTAAATATTCTAAAAACAAATAAACCCACACTCTGATATGTCTCCAAGTCATACAATACTTTAATTATTTAATTTAAAAAGAAATTTCTAAAAATCACTGGATTTCTTTTAATAAAAATATATCAAAAACTTCAATTCCAAATCCTTTGTGACATTTACAAAATATTTAGCAAAACTGTCCAAGTGGATGTGGGGCAATCAATCCAAGATATTGGGCTTCGACCACCTTTTATGCGTAGACGTGTGGAAAATATTGGACGGAAGGGAGGCGTGAGCTGGCTCCCAAATCAACTTGGGCCCAAACCCTTCCTTCCCACACCAAAACGGGGCATTCAAAAATGTACAATAAACATTTTCACACGCCTGCTTTGGTTATAGGGGGGAGGCTATCAAGTTGAGCAGAAAACTTTTCGCTATTCATGCAGATGTACACGCCAAAAAATTGCTAACAAACGGAAATGTGATATACGCGCGACAACCAGAGCACACACAAAGGCTAATGGACCAGGATGGGGCAGGGGACTTGAAGAAACCAGAGGCGTAGGCAATAGTATCCTTTTCTTATGTTATAGTTGGACAAAATTTACAACCTAAAACCTTATTTCTTAACATTAAATTCAAATAATTCTAAAAATTGTTTTGAAAAGTTTTTAGAACCCCTTCTGAAGACATCCCATGCCCCTGCCTAAAATAGCCATGCCTTGCCAGTTGCTGTTGAAAAATGTATTCAGAAAATAAACATTCATGTTGTATAGGTGAGATCTATAGCTACGTGGCAATCGTCTCGTATTCTTCTCGCCCTTCTCTAGTCTATTCAATTTGGCTGTGAATTAAAATGAAGAAGGAAAAAATACATTCATGCATTGCATTGTCAAAGGGATTTCTTTCTCTCTTCCCTGGCTTTTGTATGATTGAATGAGACCCACCTCAGGATTGGTATTTCCACCGCCCCCACCCACTATATTCCGTCTTAACTGACACGCTTTGGCGCATCGCTTGATAAGCGCGGGAGGAAGAGAACTTCTCACAGGAGAAGGCTTTCCTTCGAGTGGGATTAAAAAAATGTTTACATTGCCGAGGAGCGCAGGACATTTTAATGCCAATGGAAATATAGGGCAGCAAAGGTACATCGAAAGTAAGAGGTTGTAACTACTCGAATATGAGGGAAACTATTCAATTAGTTTTTCTTTTATTTAGAGGTGAGTTTTAGAAGCATTTAAATTAGAAAATATTAATAATAATAGTTCAATTTAAATAGGAAAAATATTAAAAATTGAATTAAATGTATTTAAAATTATTAGCTATATATTTAGTTAAATTTAGTTAGAGGGCATTACTGGTTCGTCCCTCCAAAGGTAATGACACCTTGGCCCATCGCGTTTACCTTGGCATAACAGGAAGATCCGGATCCTGCAAGATGTGGGCCAGATTAAGGTAACCGGAAGGGACAACACGCACTCAGGAGAATGATTGGCGAAAGCTCATTCCCACTTTGACTTGACAGAATCCGTTTGGGAAACTAATAGTTAACAAAAAATATTTTCAATTACTGTTGCTGTCACAGCAAAATCAATCAATTTGCAGCCACAGACACGAAAGCCATTTAATTTCTATTCCTGCACCCTTTCCCCTCAGCTCCTCTCTATCGGTAAAATATATTTTAAACACAAATTGATTTTGTGGCCACAGATTGCAGCGGTAAATGCATTTTAAGCCCAGCTTCACCATTTTTCCATTACCAGTAAACGCTTATTTTTTACTCACTCTCTGGGATTTTGCCAACTAATGAGGTGTGAAAATGTGGGAAATGCGATTTCTGCTGCGTTGGCTCTCTCTGCCTTGCAATTAGAATAAATTTATGGGTCGGAGAAGTGGTGGAATCAGGGTAAAAAGATGTGCCAAAGTATGCTATAAAAATGGGATTTGCCTGAATTGGTTGCGGCTTATTTGCTATTCACACCACAACAATGTAAACAATGCCCAGGCCCTAGGACATCCCACCCCCGGGAAGACCACTCCCCCTCATCACACCCAGGCAGCTAGCACCCAGAGGCGACAGTGGAAAAAGCAATAAAGCGCTCAGCCACACAGACACTGGAATATACTCACAATGCTGAAACAAATTTGTTGCAAATCAAAACAAATTCCAAGCTGGCAACACGCACACACAAAAAAGCTAGAGTTTTCTTTGCAAATTCACTACGAAGTAGGAATGCTCTGGCTTTAAGAATAATATTAATATTACCATTTAGATTAAGATTTTATCATGTACAGCGCAGCAATTATAAATAAGAAAATTACAATTTTAAAGAATTTTTGGTTAGAAATTATGAGAAATATAATTATTTCTGTTGAAATATATGAAAATATAACCACATTTCTTATTATAATAATAATTAACGATTTACCTAAGAACCATGGCATAAGTCTTATGAAACTACTTATATTTTTCTTAAATACACTTTTTTAGATAAAACCAAGACCCCATTCTAAACGCATCCACAACCCAGTAACCAACCCTTCCCTTCCTAAACCAACTTCCTCCATCAACTTGATAAAATTCCACAACAATTTATGCAATCAGTTGGACACAACACAGCACAAACACAAAAAAAGGGAAAAGAAATAGTACAAATATGACGGATCCAGAAACCACTTCATGCTGCTGCAGTCCAGCACCAGAAAATCCCCTCCACCGAAACACAATCCCTCTTAAGCCTTTTTGAATATTTTTGACACGTGCACTGCAATTATTTTATTACACAAACCGCCCTTCGCTGCCGTCCAACCCCTTGGGTTGTATGCAGGGCACCGCCACGCCCACTCGATTGCAAAGCAGGATAAAAAAAAAAATAATAATAAAAGCATTCGCTTGGGGGGAACGCCAACAATGGACCGGCAATTGATGCAATTCATTGAAAATTTTGATGGCAACTGTTTAGACTAAAATTGCATTATGTCTCCAAAGGCCTTTGTTGATGTTGTTACAGAAAATGGAACTCCCTCCGTTGGTAACCCAAACAATTGCCAATCATATTCGCTTTCGCGCAATTGCATTCACACATTTTGAACGTGCCCAAACGAGAAGTAGAAATAAAAAAAAAACAAGTAGCCAAAATGTTGTTTTAAATACGCGCCTAAATAATCCACCAAAATGATGGTCGGTGTGTGCATATATATACGAGTAAATATTAATAATGATGCCATTTGTTTGGCCATAGAATTGTTGTGGCTGTTTCTGTGGGCAATAAAATTTGGCTTTGCCACATAATTCAAATTGTTAATCGCGTTTAATGGCGGGCATTTATCAATATTTTCTTCATGTTGTTGCTGAATGCAAATTTTTGAATGCCAGAGGCAGAGGGCGAGAGAGACGAAGGCCTCCTAAAGCCACCCCAAAAATGGGGAATCCCACTCCAATTCAAGGGGGGATCCTGTGGTGACAAAGCAAGAACAAAAATGGCGGCTAATATGGCCACAAATTTGAGGAGTAAGAAGGATAAGAAGGGGAAGTTAAGCTCGCGAATTGGAATGGATGAAGTTCTTCTTTACTATTGTAGCTTCTATGAGATATTTATATTTTATTTTTATTTTTTTAAGAAATATCGGATTTATATTTTTAAATACAGCATTAAGTTATTCTTTAATATTGTAGGTTCTATGAGGTATTTATAATTTATTTTTATTTTCCAGATTCATATTTTTATACAAACCATCCCAAAAATAAGGTTTCAATGAAGATTAAATATATTTTTGTGGCAATTTATGTAGTTGTTTTATTATTAGTAGTATTCAAAATATTCCCAAAATTAGAAATTTATATTTGAAAATCGTTTAAACATCGACTATTGGCATATTTCTGGTTTAATACAGCCCCATCTAAAATGGGGCGGAAATAAAAGCGCAACGGCCGCTGCAACAGCTTTTCGAGGGGGAAATCCCACTTTCTCTACTCAGAAACCTCCCTTAGTTGTGGCGCTTGCCCTGCTCTAGAGAAACCCCTGCCCATCGTGCTTTTAATGCGCACCATTGTGTCAAGATAAAGAAACGGAAATTAGCACGATAGCAGGAAGTTGCCATCGTCGCTGACGTTGTCCTTGTACTTGTCCTTGTGTTCTTTCTCCTTCACTCCACAAAAAGGCGTGGTATGAAGGCCAGGACAGCAGCGATAATAAAAAAAAAGGGGCAGTGGAGGAGACAACAGCAGGATAGAGGTGGGAGCAGGCAGCAGCAGCCACTGGCAATCGGAATTGGAGTCAAAGTCGGACAGCCACAAATAATAATGAAAACGGAAATGAAATACAATACCCAAGGAGCCCTGCAAGAATGGAAAAAGTGGTCAAAATGGAGATGCCAATGATACCTCCAGGGGCAAGTCTCCCAGCTTGACTTTTACTTTATCATCAGCTGAGAGTTTATGGAGGAGAACAACGATAAAAAGATATTTAGTTGGTCAAAAAATGTGGTGGGTTTTTTTTAGAATAGAAAACAATTGAATATAAAATTAGAATTTAAAAAGGCGAAGAAGATTTCTTTTAAAAAATAAATTAAATACAATGTTTAAGCTTAGCAGTAACCTATTTATTTCATTTAAACTTTTGTAATCGAAAAAATAAATTATTTATGCAAAAAAAATCAAAGAAGCTTTTATATTTAAATTAATTTCTAGAGTTCATTTAGCCAATTTATAATTATTTTTTATTATTTTATTAAAAATTTTCTTTTCCCTTCATTTTCTTAACTCAGCAAAATTCCAAAGACCTTCAGCTAAGCCTCATCGTAAGCCCAAACCCCAAACTGGCCTTAACAATTGTAAAATTAATAAGCCATAAATTCCGAAAAAAAAAAACTTTCGCCTTTCTTTCTAATTGTGGGGATTTTGGTGGAGAAAGAGACTTTCCTTTTTCTGATTTTTTCCTAACCACACGCAAATTAGACGCAAACAAAATGCAAAGAAAGCCCAAGAAAAGCGAATGCTGATTGTCGCCTATTCACTTAATTTTTTCATTTACTTTTTTTTGTGGGTCTCTGGATAAAAAAGAAGGAGCAAACACACACACAAAGTCAATTAGGCAAAGTGACGCTGGCAACAAAGTGAAAACAATTCACATTTAAATTTGCGTATTCTTAGAAAATTTGCGCCGCGTAGCCAGGGATGAGTTCTGGGATGCTGGGATGATGGGTGAGGGTGGACACTGGGCGGGGGGTGTGTGTGTGTGTAAGTTGGCGTAAAATACGTGCATATTATTGCGCTTATCTAGGAACAAACACGCCCAGGACTCCATTTCCCGGCCCGGACCCTTAGATGAGGCCTTCCACTTGATGACGATTCCTGTCTCTCTTTTCTATGCTTTTTGTTAGGGGAATTGAATGGGATTGTTGCTGCCTGCTGCCGTCTTCGGTCGTATTGTGTGCATTTGTTTTTATGCGAATGTGCCAGTGACAAACCAGCCACATCCACATCCACATCCTCCACCACTTCAAACACTTTGCACCCGCCTAAGCAACACATCCTTCCTTAAACGTTTCTTGCCTGCCAAATGTTGCCATCGTTTGCACTGAGAGAAAGGAGGGTTCGGTTTAATCAGTGAGGTTTAAAGTCGTCACTTGAAAGTGAACAAGGTCTTTATAGTTCATTTATAATTTTGTGGTTTAATCTGATCGAAAAAAATGTATTATGTATGTTTAAAAGTTGTCCTAGAAGTTCTTTACTCTAATAACTTATTATTTCTAATTTTAATATTTATTCTATTTTACTTAATATTTTCTTCAGTGTTTGGTATGATTGTAAAGTCCCTGCCTGTCTTGGTAAGGGAATGCGGTTTTATGTTTGCTTTGTATTGGCCTGGCATAATAGACACATTTAATTTTACTATTATGCCTTTTTGTTGTCATCGCATTCGTATAATAAACCGTATTCGTTCGTTTTCAAGTTTCACTTGTGGCCGGGAAATTTCCCATTCCCAGTTTTCTACCATTTTGTCAGTCATTTCATTTGATTTTCTCGAAAAAGGATGTGTCTAGGCTTGTGTGTGTGGCCAAAAGAAATTATAAATGATCAAGTGGTAAGGTTAAATAGATACGTTTATTTCTTTTGAATTGAGAAGAGTGTTTTAAAAGTTAAAAAACATATATTTATTTATATTTATATAAAAATGTATTAAATACAGAACCTGCAGACAAGAAAAATACATTTAAAACATAAAATTTTAATGGGATATCTAAAGTTAATAACAAGTTTTGAGAACATATTTTTTTCTTTATTGTATTTTATTAAAAATTTTTTTTTTTAATATATTGTCTGCTTTGTGCTCTGAAATCTATATTAATATGAAACCCACTCCCAAGGTATTCAAACACACACGACAGAGCATTCAATTAAGAAGTTTAGCCATTTAGCATATATTATCGCATAATAGTTTTAGGCCTGGCGATGAAAGATTATCACATCCTTCAAACTTTTGGTTAGCACAGGCAACGGCACCTCCTCATTCTCCTGCTCCCAGCCAGTCCAAGCTGTGAGTTCAACAAACAATTGAAGTTTGAGTCCTTCTCGAGTGCCTCTGGGCAACATAAGGTGTGTGGGAAAACCCCTGAAACTGTCTGATGCTGTTGGATAATCGGCCTCATATAGTTCGCTGAGAGTGGATTCCTTGAGGGCTGAAGGGAAAAGACGTTCGAATTGATTAAAGCCCTTCTTCAGGGAACACACAAAGGTGTCTAGGTGCAAATGGGGACTGGATTGATTGGCTTGGGCCAGATATATTCTAGCTTGAACAGTCATTTCTGCAGGGGCTTCTATATCCAGGGTAATGCTGAAAGGTTCGTGATTGAGGCGGCGTTGTCTGGCCACAAGATGACGTTGGAGAAACTGCAAGTTGTTACGCTGTGATTGAAGCAGTTGCTGGTCAATCAGATTGATTAAATCGGTATACACGGTTTCCTCATAAGTCAGCAAGCTACTAACTGTGACTTTATTTATGATGGGTTGTATCCCTTTTCCTTCTTTTTGGATTACATTTCCTTTGCCATAACTGCTTATTATTTTCTGTAAACGAAAGAGCAGCGATCGGTAGATGGGATCTCTTAGATTAGCTGTGGCCAAACCTAGCATACTAGGCTTATCTGCTTTATAACCATTGATGGGCAAGCTCAGATGACGGCAAATATTGAGATAATTATTTGCTATTATTTTTTCAGCTATAAATGTGTTTTCTATATAATCCTTATTATGACTGACCACCTCATCAATTTGTTTTTTCAGATCTTCTAAGGTCAAGTCTAAAATGCGCCTAATGGCTTCTGAATCCAAGCTGGTGCTTTGGTAGGGAACTCCGCCAGTGGTCATTAAAGGCTGATCAATTACTTCTGTAGATTTTTGGCCCGTAGCCAAGTCCTCCATATGCAAGGCAGCCACAAATTGCTTTAAATTGTAGAGATATATTTGGGAATTGTGAGAGTGTGCTCGCATTGCCAACTGCCTTCTGTAGCTGTCCTCATCCCCAGGTCCTCGAAAGGCCATAAGGCGATCGCCATCTATAATGTCCTGATGCTGTATTCCCTCTTTAGCTTCTTCAAGGGATATAACCAATTGATTTATCAGTTTGTTCCAATGCGAGTTTAGCTCCAAATCCAAGCTGAGATAAGCCAAGTTTCTGATGTTATCTATGATCAAAGGATCGGCTGACATGGGCTCCTCTTTCGTCAAGATTTCTCTAGGACTGAAATACTTCAGAAATACATGCTTCCAATTGCGCTTGGGTGTCACTAGCCTAATGGGTGTCAATTGATGCCAGGCAATTTCTTGGGCCGCCAGGATCACCTCCTTTTCAAAGTAGAGTTGAGGCAGCACCTCAAACATGGCTGGCAGTCTGAGATCCTTGGCATCCTCTCTCTCCCCCACTGCTATTTGCAGGGCATTCACAAAGAGTATAGGATGAAAGTGTATTCTGGCATAGCAAGCGTTTCGTTGGAAGGAAGTCCAGTCCTTGGCCAGGACCAAAAAACGATAGACTCCCAACAGGTTCTGTGGCATTTCCTCATCTAGTTGATTGTAAATGGTAAAGGGTCTGGGCACTTGATTTTGATGAACACGACCTAAAAACTCCTTTATCAAACTCCAGGAACCCTTTAAGAAATTAATAAGGTTATTTGTTTTTATATATTTACATTAATTACAAACTTCTTTATATTCTTGGGGATCTTCATTAAGTTGACTGCCCATTTCAATGAGCTGTTGATGCAGCAAAGGCTTGTGCACTTGAAGCAGCAAATCCAAAAGGAACCGTTGGCGCAATTGCCAATTGGTAGGTGAAGTTAGAGACTCTGATGACCCCAGGTGACTCCGAAGGGCTGGCAGTTTCCAATGATTGCTAAAACTTGATGTTACATCTCCGAGTAGGAGACAACAAAGGCAGGCAAATGTTAATCTTAACATTTCGAAGCAGACTGAACCATGACTTGGAGCTGCTTTTGTTTATAAAACATAAACAAAATGCTATATACTATTTTTCAATCTGATCCAAAGGTTGCCATGGTGTCTGCAGATAAGAATTGAAATTGATATATACACGAAGGCAACGCTTTTTTAAAGAATGCTTAAATGTATAATATTTTGAATACAAAAACAACGAAAATGATTAAAATTTATGATTAAGCATTTCTCTTATGATTTTCCAAGGCTCTTCAACTATAAAGAAATGCAATAAGCTGTATATAGTATAACAACCATAACCCATATATTATAAAATTATTATTAAAACAATTTCGTTTTTATTGGCTCAACAATAATATGAAATATACAAAACCCAAAGCCATACGCCTCCTAACAAAACGTGACCGATGCACAGTTACATTTATATAAAGTAAATCTAAAGATAATGATAATGCTAAGCTTATTAAGTCTTTGTCTTTAAGCCAAAGTTGCGCGTTTGGCTACAAACTCCCTGGAGGTCTTCTCCTTGTTGGTAAAGCGAGAATACCTAGAATATGTAATAACTTTTTAAATAAAAAAAACAAAAAAAATACAAAGACCACTTACGTTCTTTGATATTTGGCCACATCGGAAGCACTAAGGGACGGTCTTGTGGTTTGAAAGGACTCGATCAGGTGTTTTTGCCTCAGCGAGATTTTCTTTGGCAATTTCTGGGTTGGTAAAAAATGAATGAAATATTAAAGCTTAGCGATTTTTCGATGGGATTGCTTAGACTCGTTGGAAGTTCTTGGTTGCCTAGATCTAGGGACTAATTAAACTTATAGGTATAATGGTATCTAAGCGGAGAGGTTTCTCGGAATGTCTCGCTGTAGGAGCCGTCATCCTCATCCCCCGATGAGGGCGGTGTCTCCAGCATGGGCATCGAGAGATCCAGATAGGCATCGTTCGGGTTGCTGCTCGCCTGCTGCAGAATCCCGTCGAAGCTCTCCACCAGCTCTGTGAATGTGGGCCGTGCACAGGGTTCAAAGTGCCAGCACTGACGCATCACCACATAAATGTTGAGGGAACACTTGGGCGGCTTCTCCATGCGCTGACCCGTGATCAGGTAGCTGTAGAGCTCTTCGGCGGACAGAATTTGAGGATATGGCTGTTCTCCGTAAGTCATGATCTCCCAAAGCAGCACCCCATAGCTCCAAACGTCGCTTTGCGAGTCGTATTTCTTCTCCTGCAGGGACTCTGGAGCCATCCATTTGATGGGCAGCCGGCCGTTGGTGTTTTTACGGTAGTACTCCGTATCCTGGATATCCCTAGCCAGGCCAAAGTCAGCGATTTTCATCACATAGCCATCGCTGACGAGCACATTGCGTGCGGCCAAGTCGCGATGGATGCACTGGAAATGAATGGCGGGACATTTAAGGTGATTCTCCTTCTTCACAGAACCTTCTTCTATTTTTTTTATTCAAAGATTACTAATTGGCAGAGCAAAATATACATAGATATATATTTTAATTTCTTGTAGAAATTGTCTAATAAATATCACAAAAGAATTTTTATTTTTTGTAGGTGGAAAAAAAAAAATATTAATCTTTATCAATTTAAAGTCATAATTTGCTAATCATCCCCAGTCTAAGGTAGCAATAGAAATAAACGTTATCATAAATAAATTAATAATATCTGGGGAAGACTATGAATCTATATTACAAATTCTACAAGCTCTGCCAAAGAGTATCCTTATTTCAAAACCAATTTAAACATACCCTTCGTGAAGCCAGATACTCCATTCCTCGAGCAATTTGAAAGGCAAATTTCGTAAGCTCCTTCTCGCCCAGCTCTTGTGCTGGTAACAGCGGCTTGTCATCCAAGTAGCCATCGCTGTCACTCCGCCTTTGCGGAGCTCCCGGTCGATTCTGTTTGAGGAAATCCTTGAGGTTGCCATGGGGCGCATACTCCACTATCACCCACAGCGGACCACCCTGACTGCAGCAGCCCAGCAGGTTTATGATATTGATGTGCTTGCCAATCATCTTCATCACCTCCATCTCCCGCACCAAGCTGGCCATGTCCGTGTCCGTGTGTTCATCCTTGACCATTTTAACAGCCACAATGGTCTCGGCAAGCTGGGGACTTCGGGGCAGTCCCTCTGCCTCTGCCATGACCACACGCCCAAAGGCTCCCTCGCCCAAGATTGAGCCCAAGCTGAGTTGCTGCCTGGGTATCTCCCAGTTGGAGTCCAGGGGGAACTCGTACTCGTTGAAGGCCTGGGCGGGATCAGCTCCTCCCGAACCCGTTGTTGAGACGGTGGTGCGTTGCTTTTCGATTTTTATGACTGGCATCTGCAGGTCGCCGGAGTTACAGGTGCTGCCTTCTTCCCCGGCCGGGCGGTAGATGATCACCTTCTTGGTCCACTGATGAACTGTTTCGATGCGTAGCTTCAAGAGCTTCTCCCTCCTCATTCGGCGGAGCATGATGGTTATAAAGGCACTGCCCAGGAGAAACAGAGCCACCACAATAATGGCAGCCAGGGTAAAACCCAGAGGATTGGCATGCAGCAGGGCGTAGATCTCCAAGGGCGGCAGAGGATTCCTAACCCTCAGGTAGACACTGGAGTTGCTGCTACCCAGCGTGTTCATGGCCACACAGGTGTACCAGCCTTCCTGCTCGTGGGTCACATTGCGTAGCTCCAAAACCACGGAGTTGTTGGTCACAGTAAAGTTGAGACGGGCAAACTCCACTCGCCTAGAGCCTCCCAGGGAGTCATTTCTTAGAACAGCTCGTTCCCATCTTGCAGTGGGATGCAGATCGGAGAGGACGCTGCACTTGATGTCCAGGCTTCCGTTCACCATCACCGTTTGGTTCTGCGGCACCACGATGATGGGCGAGGATCGAGTGCGCTCATTGACCAAAACGTCGAAATCGAAGGAAATGCAACCGAAGGAGTTGCAAACTTCACAAGTATATTTTCCCGAATCTGCACTGGTGGCCTCCACAAAGCGCAGGAAAAAGTTCTTCTTTAAATAAACGCCAAGTCCGCGATTCAAGGGATTTTTATCCTTGGTCCAAGTGATATTCGCCTTGCCGTCAACGGGACAAGCCAGGGTCATAGTGTTACCAGCCACTGTGTGCTGAAGTCGTTTTAAATCCTTTTTGAATACTGGAGGACCCTTGCCGGCAGCTGCTTCCTCGGCTGCATTGTCCGCCTCGTCGTCGGTGTCTTCAGGAACGAGTGCAGGTGGTGTGGGTGTACCCACTGTGCTGCTGGTGTAGACACGAGCTGTTGTGGTGTCTTCAGGACTGTAAAGTTCGAGGTAGGCGGCGCCAACAGTGCGTCCTATTTGATTCTCAGCTATGCAGATGTACCAGCCAGAATCCTCCATCAAAACATTCCCCAGACGAAGCACCTGTGGCTCATCCTTTTGCGTTAACATGGGCATAAAGTCCTTGGGGACCTGGGATTGCTGCTTCAGTAGCTGCAGTACCTCTTCGATATTAACACCGCTCACCGGATGGAACCACGTTATCTTTGGCTCTAGCGGGGAATCCTCCAGGCGACACTGGAAGCTCACATTTTCCCCAAGAGCAACGCTGGCGTTTTGTGGATATCCAGGCATCAAAACTGGAGCTCTGTGACTTTGGCTGACCACCTCAAGAAGGGTGGGATTACTCCTCTGGCATTCCTGCTCCACACACAACTCACAGCGATAGCTTCCCGCATCATCAGGCTGTAGTTGCCCCACGGTCAGAGACCACTTTTTGATCTTGATTCTGCCGCGTCCACCCAAAATTTGCTTGTCATTGTGCAGCCAGGATATATTCACTCCTGTTGCCTCCGGATCCTTGGGAGTACAGCTCAGCTGGAAGAGACCGCCAGCAGTGCGTTGCACGAACTCAGGAAGTGGTTGCAGCAATCTCAGCGAGGCATTCGCATTCAGTGGCTGAAAGAAGAGATCAGACTGGGGTATCCTCTGGGCAGTATCCACATTGGCAAAGCTGGCTATATCATTGCCTCCTGCCTCCTTGTAGCCAATTATCAGGGAGACATTGAACCATCTGTTTTGGCCATCCAAGCAGCCGTAGTTCCCCGACTTCCAGGATTGAGCTCGTTCCAGTTGCAAGACAGTGGCCCTGGACTGAAACTTATCCTGATAGAACCATTTGGCCGTGGGTCGGATGCACTGCAGCGTGATGTCCATATCGGCGGGAATGTGGCGTTGCTGGGGACTGTTTTCCGCGGTGACATCGATGCGGCAGCTGTGATGGGCAAAGTCGCAGCCCAGGTCTGGAGATGCCGAAACAAGCGCAATGATCATCAGCGTGATCGGCACTTTTGCCATGGCTCAAGTGGATTCTCTTTGAGTTCAACAGCAGCCAAGTGATTGTATCTGGTTGGGTTCAATGCGAGTATGGATATACAGTTGCGGTCAAAATTGTAGGACGGTTTGGAGTTAAATTGAATGGTTATGCTACACTACGGTATTTCTTTTACAAAAGTATAAAGTAAATTTAAATTTAAATTTAAATTTAAATTTAAATTTTTAAATTTTGTGGTTATATTCATACTTTTAGTATGCTGTTAAAGAGATTTCAAAGCGATAGTCATTATTGATATTAACACTTAAATATTTCATACTAAAATTTCATGAAAATCAATAAAATCAGATCCGAGTCAAATAGATATATTGAATATTAATTCTCATAGAAAATTGTTTAGACGTGCTCTTTTTTTTGACCGCAACTGTATAATCAAAGTGTATTGCCAAAACTCCGTTTCTCTCTTGCTTCTGCCTCCCTCTTGTGATCGCCGCTCTGTGTCATTTTTATTTATTTATTATTATTGTTTAATATTTTATTGCCAACACGGCACACAGCCCAGCCAAGAGACTGCCCCGCACCAATATGCAAAAATTCGAAGGAGAAAAAAAAAAGGCAGAAGTGTGTGCCTTGCCTCCGTAATGAGCTCGAAGACGTGGTCGTAGCCACTGTATTGCCGGACACACTCGTTGCCACCCACTCCCCATTGGCGTTCCACTCCCGAAAGGGGGATCTCCACTATAAGTTGTCTATATTCGACATTCGCCAAATGCGTTTTTCCATTCAACAAAAGCCGTACAGTTAGAAAACCGAACTCAAATCGGTTGAAATCATTCGTGGGACAGTGGGACTTGACACTGTTTAGTTATTTTTAACCGCAAAGCAAACAAAAAATGCACTAACGAATTGCAACCGCAAATCAAGAAATACCCAAATGATTAAGCTAAAAAAAAAAGAAATAACACCTTAAGGCAGTTTGATATACTCTAACAAAAGCAAGTTAATTAAATTAAGTTACCTATAACTGAGTTGAAGTACTTAATTGGAGTTAAAAACTCGAACTTGATAAGTAAACAAATAATTAAAAACTTTAAAGATTGTAATTAGACTTCCACAGAAAGTTTACCGTGTTTTCCGCCCACTGACTTTTATTAAGTGTATTAAAATTTTTAAGGGTATATTGTTTGCCTGGACTTGTCAACAAGTCTTGACCGAGCTAAACAAAAAATATATGTTTACTTATCCAGTTTAATGATTAACAATGATATGCAAGTCTAGGGTAAATCCCAAAAGGTATTAGCAACCTGTATACCAGTATTTCGGAAAGTTTAGCTTGTTTTTAACACGACTCAAATGTTTGTTAAACTGATAAATCAAATAGCATAAGAACAAATAGAATAAAATAAGTTGAGAAAAATTATAAAAACGAACAATTTTAAGACTGAATTAAATTAAACAAATCCTCAGCTAATCCAATCTATTAAAAAAATATCTATAAAATTATTTCTTATTAACTTTGCATTTTCCTCAATAACTAAAACGTTTTCAAACCACTGTCCAGTTAATGAAATTTATTTTATTGTTTGTAAGGCATGCGACAACCGTTGTGATTGTCATTGTTGTTGTTGCTACTAGTAATTGTTGCTATTGTTGTTGTTGTTTTATGGTTGCTTTAGCGGCCTGGCTTCAGGCCCGATATATGTATGCACACGCGTCGCAGGTTTTAATTTATTCAATTCCTTTTTCTCAGTTGTTGCCAAATACGAGTCGATCGCTGTATTTGAAGTATGTATTATTTTTCTTTTTTTCTATATTTTTTCTCAGTTTGTCAATCGTTCAATATTATTCGATTTGAAGCCAGCGGGTGCGCGCACATGGCCAAAAGCGTTTAACTCACACCTTTTTATCTTGTGAATTATTATCGAACGAATGAATCTTTCGCATATTCGACTTGACATTTCAACTTGGTCTGTGAGCTATTTTGAGAACGGAATTACTGGGCGAATTTAGCACTTGACATTCTGCATATTATTAATGAAATTATTTTTTTTAGTTCGAGTAATTTTTTATGGTCAGGGTATTTGGGGTGTTTTTATATAGTTTTAAGGAATAGTATTATTAATTTAATATGAATTTTGTGTGTGTTGGTATTATTTTTATAAATGGTATTCTACGTTATTTTAGATTATAGGTTTTTATATTATTTTATTAATATATATATTCATTCATTCATTCATTTTCTTATTCATATTTATTTATGTAAGAATTTATTATCAACATAAGAATTAGTAATGCCTGAACTGCCTGAACTCTGCCGACACGTGAATAATATGCACAGAAAGAAATTTTCAGTCTAAATCAACATTTTTAGTCCTAAAATTTTATTCCAAAAAGGATATATCGTTACAGTAGCAATATTTAGCGATAATTTCGATATATTTGTGATATTTTAACGATAAATTAATTATATATTTGATATATCAGACCGATATAATAGGCGAAAAAATAATTAAGTAATATTTAAAGAATATTTTAACATTAAATGACTATTATTATTATTATATACAAATGCAATTCTAATATGGCATTTCTTTGGCCATCACTGATTTTTAATATTTTGACTTCTTCGGTTCTCTTCTTATGTTGATCTTTCGTTTTTTTAATTTAAACTTTTTGGCTGCACTTGACAGGATTTGTATTTATTTGACTGCTGGAACATTTCTGTCTTTAAAATTAAATTTATTTCCCTTATTTTTTTGTTTTACTGCCGCATGTCAGCCCCGATGGGAATACGTATGTATAATTGTTTCCTTCCACGCCACAACCCAAAAATCTTTGACCAAGAAATCACGTTCTTTGTCTTTTATTTGCGAAGAGCTGGTGGGGGGCGTCGAGTTAAGACCGCAGAAGAATATTGTCACAATATTTAGTTGGCTGTGTTTATTTCGCTGTCAATCGAGGATGGAGTTTTGGATAAAAATCTTTTTTAATTTTTTAGGCGTTTCCGCTTCGTTGCCAACTTTTATTTCCCTTTCAAGAGGCACAAGAGAGAGACATAGAGAGAGAGAGAGGGGGAGTGAAGGGCCCACTTCCGTCGCACCAACCGTAATCCGTAAAGTTTTGTGGAAGGAACCGAGCAAAGCCAACCGATTGGCTTGAAAGTGCGCAAACAACTAACCGACAGTAACGATCGAACGGAAGAAACTTTTTCAGCTATAAACCGAACGATTGCCCGATTGCCCGGCCGATCGAAGCCGATTCAAACCGATCCGAGAGCTCGGTAAAAAGTGTTTGCTCGGATCCAGGATAGCCAGGGTTCGGGCTCGGATTTAGCTACCTGTTCAAGGTGGTCTTGGTCTTGGGCTCTCCCTCCCGCATGTTGCAATTGTTTTCGCTTGTACTTAGTTTCCCTCAGCGGGTTTCCTTTCTTTTTATTGTTGTCGCTGCTGCTGGCTCTTCTTGTTGGTTTTATTCTAAGCATGTTTGCGGTGGCATCGGACTCGTTGAAATTCTTTATTATCGGCTCTCCCTCGCTCGTTTTCTGTTTGTTTGCTTGGCGGCTTAATTTATGCAAAAGAAAATGTTTCCATTGTCTTAGTGGCGGAGGTGCCTGTGCCTGCAGTACGTGAGCATGCGCGGTAATCGCATATCAATAAGGAAATATCCGTTACGTGACTGATATCTAAAAAAAATAAAATCCCAGCGACTGGAAGTGGCTCCCGCATAGATACCCCCAGATACTGATCCAGATGCCAGGCACGTAAACTACCCAAAAATAGTTAAATGCATTTTTCTTGCACTTGCTGTTGTGATGGGAACAAAAAACCGAGAAACGAAAAGCGAAATCCAAACAACGGAAGGGCTAACAGGTCCCACTCTGGTTACCAAGAACTTGCCATATAATTTAGTACCGTTTCCGGCAGTGAAAAGATCGACTCACCTCGTGTCCGAATTGAGCCAGAGCCTCCTTAACTGCCGCCATGTTCGCCGAGGTCAGAATGCTCTGAAGATCAGCGCCGGTATAGTTGGCCGTTCTTCCCGCAAACCACTCAAAGTCCACGCACTCATCTAGGCTCAAAGTGGAACTGAGGGCTTCTAAGATGCGTACTCGGGCCACGGCATCGGGCAAAGGACACTCCACCAGACGATCAATGCGTCCTGATCGTAGGAGCGCCGGATCCAACAGTTCCGGTCTCGAGGTGGCAGCTATCACCGTGACGCCCTGGAGTCCCTCCACGCCATCTAGTTCAGTGAGCAATTGATTGACCACACGATCCGTAACACCTGTGGAGTCGTGCCCGCGCTTCGGGGCCAAGCTGTCGAACTCGTCGAAAAAGAGGACACATGGACGAGCACTGCGGGCGCGATTGAACAGGTTCCGTACGTTCTCCTCGCTTTGGCCAATATATTTGGCCAGCAGTTCGGGTCCTTTTACGGAAATAATGCGCAGGTTCCAAGAGGTGGCCAACTGAGAGACCAGGTAAGTCTTGCCAGTTCCAGGAGGTCCGTACAGGAGCACTCCGGCTTGGTTGCGCAACGGTGAAGCATTGAAAATTGTGGGATACTGTAAGGGAGAAGAGTTATGATACAAACTAAATTAAAAATAAATATAATAAATATTTAAATAATTTAAAAATGGGATTTAGAAGAAGTCCAGTTAAGTAGTTCTAATAATACTTATAATAATAGTAAATCTTGTGATGACTTACCCTTGATGGCCACATAAGAACCTCCTCGAGCACCCCCACTACAGCCTCTAAACCAGGCAGTTCCTCCACACGCATTTCATTGGCCTCCACCTCGCTGCCAGTCTTCTGATTACTCTTGATGCCCTGCAGGCAGTAGGAGTTTGTGTGCTCCAGGGACTCGATGAGCTGGTCATTCGTCAGAAGCGGCTGCGTCTTGCCTGGAAACAGAACATTTTAATTCAATTAAAATTAATTAAAATAAAAATGAATAAAAATTAAAATGAATAAAAATCAAAATGAATTAAAATTAAAATTAATTAAAATCAAAATTAATTGAAATTAATTAAAATTAATTGAAAATAATTAAAATTAATTAAAATTAAAATTTTATTTCAAAAACAAATACTCTAACGATTTACTCACTCAAGCGGTAGGCATAGAAAATGGCTCGCTCCACGAACTGAACAAGATCACACTTCCGGTAGCCCTCGGTGAGGTTGGAGAACTTAACCAGATCGAGCTCCTTGGACGCATCGATATGGCTGCAGAGCTCACGCAGGATAATCTCACGATCCGGTCGCTCCAGGCTGGGTAAACGAGCCACAGTCTGGAAGACATGCCTGCCTCGCGGAGAACTCAAACGTTTATTAAGTGTCTGCAGCTCGTTGACGGTGGCAATCACTGCAATTGCATTGCCTGTGGTATACTGGACGATCAACTGATGCACTGTATCCGCCATGCGGTTGTAGTACTCCCCATCCTGACTGGACTGCTCCCCAGCCGAGTGGGCCAGAACGTCCAGGTTCTCCAAAACCACAATTGCAGGTGCATGCTGTAGGCAGCTGGTGAAGATGTTGCGCAGATCCTTTTGGATGGATTCCGTCTTGCGACCTTTGCTCCTTGAGCCGTAGAAGATGTCAAAGTAGCAATAGTCCGGTTTGCGGGATAGCTGGTCCAGAATGCGCTCAACCAGCACGGTTTTACCCGTTCCAGAGGCACCGGTAAGCAGGACATTGCACTGCCGCATCACCGAGTTGTCTTCGTTCAGGCAGAGATTCAGGCGCAGCTCCCGAACCACCTGATCCACAATCTTGTCATACTCGGGCAGACGTATTAGATCCTTGACACTCAGCGGCGATGTGACTGGAGGCTGCTCCTTGATAATCTCGTTCACCGGACGCACCAGATCAGCGGCATAGATCTTGGATTCTTTCAGAAACTGAGCATCGACAACGCAGTACCTAAAGTGCTCTGGCAATATGCCAACTGTGACCAGCAAGTCGTCCTCTAAACGCACCACCTCCTCCTGGTTGAACAGCATCGGTCTCTGCTGGGTTCTCTCGATGACGAACCGCTTAAATGCGTTTTCAATGATCTTGTAGTGCGTCTTCTTGTGGGCAAACAGCTCGATCTTCTCCACAAAGTTGACCACGGTTGTCTTAAAACGGAGCACCACACGTTCCAGCTCTTTGATGCCGAGCAACTTCATCAGGTTGGCATTCAGTTCGATGGATGGGTGAATGGTGCCTGGTAAATCATCCTCCAGATCCTCGTCTACAGTGCGCACTCGCACATAGTAGTCCTTGTCGCCGGCTGTGTGCATGCAGTAGAACTGATCTAAATCCAGGTACTCGGGCAGATGTTTACGATTTACAAATACATCCGACTCTTGGGCACGTTCCCGCCAAAGGCCACGAATCACCCGGAATTCAAAGCTTCGCGAGCTCTCCCTGCGCAGATCCTTTTTGAGACGCTCCATATGATCCTGCCGCTTGTTGCGTTGCAAGGTATTCTTCACATTCGAGACCGTTGAGGAATGAGTCAGAGGTGTGATTGGCTTTTCGGACAAATCATCCTTGACCTGGGCAGTAGTTTTACTCCTAGAGAGTTTTGTGTTCTCTTCAGCGACACCATTGGTACTTCCATTGGTTAGGCCTTTGTAGAGATTGGGTGCCACAACCAGTTCTGTGTTGTGGTCTATTCTTCCATAGTTCATGTGCGGCTTGAGGCGATCTAATTAAATATAAAATATTAATAATAATATATAAATATAGTATTGTTTTTATTTACCCACTGTCAGCGCCACCTGCATGGACTTGTTAATCCAAACAATCAGAATCTGAGTGGAGTTAACAATGCGAGTTTGCTCCAGCACACTGCCAGATATTTTCTCAGTGCTCAGTTCCTGCAGAAACAAAAGAATGTTATATACATATAACAAAATAAACAAAAAATATGCTAAATATCAAGAGTGACACATTAATCTACATAATACAGATATATATAACAAAAATTATACTAAATAATATGAAATATAATATCATTATGTCACTCAAATAAACAAATATTTAGATAAGAATCCTAGGCATAGCTGGTTGTCATAACTAAATTATAGCTTTAAAAGCTATGTACTAATAAATATTACAACTTCTTAAAGCTCCTCTGAGCAGTAGGGGTCAATGGCAATGCCGGCCAAGCAATCGGGAGTATAAATAAAGACCAAGCGTACGCCCGCGCCAAATGCTAATCCGATATAAACAGAATTTTCTATTTTTATGCTGGCGACACGGGCATGCCGCAAGCATGCGAAACCATCACTCACAATGATCTCCCAGTCCTTGGACGAGACGGGGGTAACGTGGACGCTGCGCAGGTTGAGAACGTCAGCGATGAGCGCACACTTGACCAAATCATTCTCGTGCAGACCTATGGCAAGAAAGGGAAAATGTATTAGATGGCCGGAGTCCAATATTACGGCACATTGGCAAGCGATGCACATCCGGTTCGTTAAGTAATAAAGCTTACCGATCTCTTTGGCCGCTCTGGCATTGATCCCAATTTCGGTGTCCTTAATGCCCCCGCCGCCCTTCTCTGGCGCCCAAGAGGCGTAGTGCACCCGTCCATTGTACTGCAGACTCAGGCAGCCCGTGTCCTAATCAAAGCGGTATAATCTCTGGATAATCTTATCTGGACTTTGCCGGATTGACTTTTGGACACTTACATAGGTCGAAACGACGCCGTAATACTGGTCCGGCAGCAGCACAAAATTGCTCCTAATGGGCCGATAGACCACCTTAAATGTGCGCTTGAACATTCTCGACGTGGGCGTGCGCGAACTCAGCTATTGCCCGGCTAATTCAATTTCATTTTTGGCTAAACTTGCGCCGTTCCACAGCTGCTGCCCCAAGAGATGGTCAACTTGACGATTGTTGAACCGATAGCCGCAACAGGTGAATCAGCTGTTTAGGGATGAGCGATTAACAGACTGTTTCCACTGCTGCGATGTATCGAAATGGATAAGCTAGAGCTGAAAAAAACAGGTTTATTAGCATAGATGAACTTTAAATGGATGCTTTGGCAGCTTTAGTATATATTATAATGAATATAAAAATTATTATAAGGGAAAAATACAGCCTTTTAAAAAAATTAGCAACTATAGAATCGAGCTTTAATGGAAACAGGATAAAAAGCATTACTCGATACTTGGTTACCGATATTTTGTATCGGATTATCGAATGCTTTCAGATCAAAGGGGAGGGGAATTCACATTCTCTCCCAGCTATCTCGCCATTATTTCCAATCAGAAGAAGTGAAATAAACTAATTGATTCAATAAGTAAATAACAGTATCATCAAGGAAAAAGTTTACTTTTTAGGTAAAGCTGAAAAAGAGAAATATAAGGATGCATAAAATGATTAATCTGCAAAAGTAATTTCGCCAGTGCATGCAATTCTTAAACTCTTATCAGAAGACTGCAATAAATATGTAAATGTAGTTTCTGTTGATTTCAGTGAGTAATCGCCAGTTCCGGCAAGAAGTCTATTCTTCTCTAATAAGAAAGAGTAAAGACTAAACGAACTAATTTATGATAAAACATGGAATCCATACGAAGAAATGACTTAAATATCGCTTCATACAATATCAGAGGTCTAAAAACTAAAGTAGAAAACAAAAACTTTATGCAATATTTGCATAATTTTGATGTTTTTATATTAATTGAAACACACACGCTGCCCAATGCCGAAGCAGCCGAGTTCTTTAAGGATAACCAGCCGGAATTCGAATGTTTGCATTGGAAGGATGCAGAAAGAGTTTTTCGTTACGGTCGAGGAATCGGTGGATGTATAATTGGAATAAGGAAGTCCCTCATAGACCGGGGAGTAAGCCATAGTATTGTAGATATCAATGGTTTCAAAGTACTGCAGTTGCAAGTACGCAATAAAAAGATGCAGATCGTTCCACTATATATTCGTTCGACCGATTGGAACAAGGAGTTCAAGCCGGTGATTAAAACTTTTGAAAATACGGAAAATACAATGACTAATGCAATAGTAATGGGCGATGTCAATGTCCGGTTGGGAGAACTCAAGCAAGAAGTGGACCAATTCAACTGCATCGCCAACACGAATGGTCGCAGATCCTTGGACAAAGAGAGGAACGAAAAAGGCACAAAGTTTTTGAAATTCTGCGATGGTCAAAATCTTAAAATACTCAATGGTCTTACCCACGGAGACGCCGAGGGAAGTTTCACCTGCTTTGGGGGCAGAGGGAATGGGAGATCAACGAACGACATCTGCGCAGTGAGCAGAAACCTTATGTCTTTGGTTGTGGATTTCAAAGTAGATAGCGTTCAGCACGGATCCGATCACTTGGCCATTTGCCTGCAGCTGAACCTTCAGTTTTTGACGGAGCCACCAGCACCCAGGGTTCCATCAATCCAACAGAATAGTCATAGTTTAGCTTCGCTTAAGGTGACTCATGAATCGGTATTAGATTCCGATATTTCCATTGACGAAGTCATGCATGTTCTCAAACAAATCTCCTTGCCGGGATTTTCTAAAAACGCTGTAAAGGATATTGTCGGAGAAGTAACTCTTCGATGCAATAACATATTTAATGGTTTAAATATAAATATTGAACCACACTCGAATATAGTCTCAACAAGTGATTTAACAGAGATTTTACAAGATATAGTTAAAAGAAGATTGGTTAAATGGTGCGAGGAAAATAATATCCTAAGTAATTATCAGACACGATTCTCCAAAAAGACACCCAAGTTAGACACAGTCTACAACTTGGCAACAATTGTCAATATCCAGATGAGCGAAAAAAGAAAGGTCTACGCGTTTTTTGTGCAATTCGAATCGATCTTCTCGGAAGATTTTATTCAACATTTATGGAACAAACTTAACCGTCTGGGGGTGTCCTCAAAAGTAATAAACTTTTTAAAATATTTATACGAACGAGAAAAATTAGTAAATTACTTCCAAAATAAAAAGGGGCTTCTATCAGAGCTGATGTATTCCCTTTATTTGAACGATCTTCCTGAGAAATTGGAGGGAGGCCTCTCCATCGATGATCGCCAAATAAATATTCTAATGTATGCTGATAAAATCGTACTTCTCTCGGACACCGTCAGCGGGCTTCAGGATATGATCAACCGTTTGGAAAAATACAACCTCAATACCTCAACCTTTCTGAGGTAATGGTTTTTAAGAGAGGCGGCAGAATTTCAGGAGTTGAAAAATGGCTTTTTAACGGGAAAATGATCAAGACCACTTCCAGGACAAATTACCTTGGTTTCGAGATCACTTCAACATTCTCGTACACAAAGCAAGTCCAATCAATGATTGCAGATGCCAAGCCTCGCCTGGAGGACTTTCTCAATGAATCGCATTGGTCGAAACTGATGACTCGGTATATGGCTCCTTTGTGGGGCAGTCACAAAAAGAGTTATAGCAAAGCGATTGGACAACTGCAAAAATCATATTTAAAAGGGAATAGCAATAATAGTATTAACCTTAATAGCCTTGCTCTTAACCTATACCTTATGTACATAGGACAAATATATTTCTCGCATTCTGAAAATTCCCTAGTTGGCTATTTAACACTTAAAATAATTGAAAAAAATATTATGTGGGCTGAAAACCTTAATTCTATGTGTAGGAAACACAAACTCCAGTGGAAGGAAAGCCTTCAAAGTAGCGAACTTTGGGCTGAATTCTGCACGACTCTGATCAGCCTTGAAAATTTATAAATTTTACATATTTGTTATTGTTTTTATGTGCAATATTTAAGTTAGTTTTTTATGTTTATATAAATATTTAAGAATTGTTGATCTATAATAGAATAAGATAATGTATACAAAATCATTGTTTTTTTATTTTTATATGTATGTAAATTTTGTATGTGTATTTATATTTTTTTAATAAATTATAAAATATATTTTATTTTAGTTTTTATACTATTATAAAGGGTATTGGATTGGTACAATTCTGAAAAAGCAGATTATAACTCCCTTGTAAATTTTTGTTTCCTGCATGAAAATATAAAAACTTTGTTTATTTTTTTTGGCTATTTTATTCGGTTATAATAATTCATTTAAAATAGTTCAAGGGTTTAATATATTCGTGTAAAAGTGTGTACAAAAATGCCGGAATTTTATATTTATATATAATAGTTCCTTTCTCCTCCTTCGCTCATCGTATACCATGCTGGCTTCTTATCAAATTAAATAACACAATATTTAAAAACTAACAATGGAGCGTGCTAATCGTGTGTTCTGCGATCTCTACTCTGTTTGCGCGAAATAAAGAGAAGAAGACTTTGAAAGGATATGCATAAGGATGCCAATGGCACTTGTAAATATGTAAATACAATAAAACTGTGCTTATAGTTCAACTAAATTCGTTATTGCATTTTTTTTTTAATATATATACTATATATATAAATATTTCTTAATATTTATCAAGAGAAGACACTATCCAAAAGAGTTTATAAAAGCTTTTCTGCGTGTTCGGTATGCTGAGTCGTACTGAACTGCCTCCATATCAGTCTTCGTCAATTTGTTGTTGTGGCTCGTGAGAATAAAATTGGCTTATATAAATGGAATATCTATTCGTATAGTTTTTTTGTATAAAACTTTGCATATAATTTTAGAAAATGTGTTGTCTTTTTTTGAGTGTAAAACATTCTAAAAATGTTACAAAAATGTTCATCTGGCATGCAATATTTTGGCGTAATGATTTATTTTTTATTTTTATTTATTTTTTAAGTGCTGACTGTTTGCTTGGAGTGAAACAAATAAGAAATAACAAAAAAACAAATATAAATACGAAAATATACACAATTTTAATGCTTTATACTCTTTCTTCCCATACAATTCATCTTATAGAAAAAAAAATACAATTATTTAAAGTACGGACTTGCGTGTACTCCATATTCGTGCGGATTTGCCATCTCGGATGGATGCAGCAAGTGATTCCAATTTGGTTAAAACTTAGGCATAAAAAAATACAACTAAATAGTACATATATCGTTCGATATATATGTATATGTATATACACAGGTTAAAATGTAAATCAATATTTAACAATTACAGTTTTGATAAATACACCATGCGAATTTTCGATTTCAACTTAAGCTCTAAGCAACCAAATAATAATGTGTTTTTAAAAACATAATTTTGGCGATAAACAATGTCTCACAAAATTGAAGGCGAGATTCACAAAATGGGCGGGGGCTTGGGGCTTTTATCAGAGCTAATTGTTCCACACACACACACGCTTTTTGTATATAAAAAGGGATAATTCCGAGTAATTCGAAAATAAAAGGATTTCGTATAAAGGGGAATGTGAGTTTTGTGTTTCGTGTGCGAGTGTGTCCAAAACAATTTAATCGCCCAATCACATATTGCAGTATCTCTCTAATGATCTCTCTTTTCCGTTTTCAGTGTAATTTTGATTTTCGATTCGTTGCCATCTCGTTCATCATCTCGTTCATCATCTCGTTTGATCTCACTTAGCAATCCATCTCCTCCAGGGTGCGCGACAGTCGATTATTGTCGATCCTGCGACGCTGTGAGCGTCGAACCGCATCCGCCCGCCGATACGGTTCGCTCTTCAGCCCAAGCAGAATGTCCTCGAGGGCTCCATTGTACACCTCGTCCTGCTGCAGCAGCTTCTTCTCGCGCACCGAGTGAGCCTTGCTCTTCAGCTCGTTGATGACGGCATCCTGCAAGGAGAGGGCGCAGGTTGAGGCCAGCTGTTTGCGTTTTGGTTTTTTTTTTGGGAAGCGGAGAGCAAGGCCAGGCCGGGTTTGGGATAAGAAAGATAAAAAGGTTAGCATTAAACAGGGAAACCAACACCAAAAGAGAAACAGAAACTAATTACTAAAGGGTTACTCTCAAGTCGGGTTTGAATTCGTTAAATTTTATTGCATATATATTTCAATTTGTTATTTCTTTTAAGTTAAATTTTTATATATATATATATATTTTTAGTGGAAAATACATATAGAACATAATTTTACATGTTTTTAATAGATGTTTTTTCTAACAAGTGAATGCGGTTTAGACTTCAAACTTCGCGTATTATTATTACTTTTTTAAGGATCTATTGAGTGGCGAATCTATCGATTGCACATTTTAAATGTTATATTTGTTTCCAGAACCTTAAATGTTATATTTGTTTCCAGAACCTTAAATATTGTACACAAAATAAATGTTGTTAGCCAAGTTATAAGATGTTTTAAAGTCGAAAGTAGAGTTGGAAATAAATCGATTTTCATTGAATCTAATTAAAAAAAAAAAAAAAAATCTACAAGTAAATCGATTATAATCGATAAAAATCGAAAACGGAAATATAGATTTACATCTTAGATGTGTAATATTATTATTTTTCCTATATATACATTTAAAATATTACATTTTTCTATATGTATCTTCACCCTTAAGGATTTTCATAAGCCACTTTGCTTAAACAAAATAATAATTTTATTTAATGGAATAATAAATAAACATTAAAAAAACCTTGTCAAACTGCCAAACTATGAAATGACACAATCAGTACACATATGAGATCACAGCCAGAGTAAGATTAGCAATGGAATTAGCGCGGATTAGGCAACACAACAGTGGGGATTAGTCGAAACCAAAACAATGTTAGGAGACAAGTAGAGACAAGCCGGGCGACTTACACTAATATGGGGGAATTTTACACAAAACAAATCCCGTGACATGCTGCCGCCCCCAGAGAGCAACAACTATGTAGGTGGTAGAGGATTGTGTGTTTTTTGGTTTTTTAGGATGTTTCTGCTATTTGGGACACGGGCTTATAATCCCTCTTCTTGGCCCCCGCAGACTGCCATCCCCAGTTGAGTATTTTACAGAGTGTGGTGCGTTTTGTGTGTGAGTCAACCAAAGAACCAAGTTAACGTGCTAGGATTGAGGAGATGGCCGGTGGATGGATGCTACGATTGGTAGGTCGAGCAGGCATTGTATTGGCTGCATAAATCAAATCGAAACAAGATCAGAACAAAGCATAACAGGTTACCCGACAAGTGCAGTTAGAGGATTCACCACCAGGACGATTTCAAGAGACGAAGGGCTTCCGTGTTCGATGTTCTTCACTCACCTGTTGCTTTTTCTGATTAGCTTTGTTGCGCAAATGCACCTGGTCGGTCTCCTTTTTGGAGGCGGCCTGCTCCAGGCGACGTCGCTGCTCGTTCTCCATATCATGTTGCTGAAATTATAAGGATAAACTGGCTATAAATACCATCTCTAATTTGCTTGGAATACACCAACCTTAAAGGCTCTTGTAAAGCGAACGATTAGAGCAAAGAAGGCAGCCGCATCGGCATTTCGCGAGGATTCACCAAAGTACTCCACGCACTCTTTAAAAGCATCCTGTGCGTGACGCAAATCGCTCTTGATCTTCTTCAGCTTATCCTCGCTGTTGGTGAGAAAGTCTTTCAAGATGTGCGTCTGAGCACCCTTTACCCTCAGATCTGCCTCCTTGCGCACAAGCTCCATGCCCTTGTCCAGCTCCTGAACATCGGCCACTACATTTTCCAAAGCCACCGAAGCCGCTTTTTCGGTGCCATACAGCTCGCTGTCAAAGTTGAGGAGTTCATCGAATTTGGACCGAATGGTGGCCACAATATAGTGAAGCAGGGACGATCGCTTATCCGTGGACTTGGTATCAATCAACGTGTCCAGCGATTGCAGCTTGAAACCATAGGCAGGTCCTCGCTTGTTGCTGTTGAGATAGTTGCCAAAGGCCAGGACTATTTCCAAAACAGCCTTGAACTTACGCGATTGTTTCAGGGAATTGGAAGCAGCAGCTATGGATTGCACTTGCTAAAATGATGAAATAAATAATAATAAATAATAATAACTTTAACTTTAAAGTTAATTTTCTTACTGGACTAATAAGATGCACACTGTCAACGAAATTCCCCATGTAGTTCATAATGGCCAGCTTCGAGGAGATGCGTTCCACACGCGACAACTGCAGCATGAACTTGTCTTCTTCGGTCAACAGCTGCTGATCCTTGCGGGCGCCTATGTACTCCCTGTAGGCCTTGGCCTCGGCATCGGTGGGAACCATCTTTTGCAGCAGCTCCACATTCTCCAGGGAGAGCTTTTTCAGGTCCAAACTATGGATGGCAGCGATGACATCGTCTATGGGCATGCCCAGCTTGCGACGGGAGATTGCTGAGAAAATTAAGAAAATCAATTAAGTTTAAGGAGGTTTTAAGGCATAGTGAATCTCACTCACCAATGTTTCTTAACCTCGTGTGCTCCAGCAGCGAGACATTGTCGGGCCTCTTGAAGCGTTTGCTGGACTGCAGCGAGCCATCCACTTCGGTTCCACTGCTGCCATTGTGCAAGGCGCCACCAATGCCGATTTTGAACCTCTCCTCGAATTCGTTAAAGTCAATCTGCTTGAAGATCTTCTCGTCGTCCAGCTCGTTGAAGATAGTTCCACGAACCTGACAAGATGGAGAAATAGTTAGTAACCAATATAAAGCTGGAAATTAATCGATTTTCAGTATCTATTCTTACCTGATTTGGCTTCAGGGCCACCCAGTTCAAGGTGGGCAACTTGTACTTGGTGGGCACTTTGCGCTTGATGGTCATGGCGCCATCGGGAGCTGGCATAAAGCCGGCCGCCGGTGGCGGTGGTGGCTGGAAGGAGCTAAGCATGGGCGGGGCATGAGGAGGCGATGGAGCCGTTGACGTAAGGCTGCCATTCGGACTGATCATAGGACTAAAGCCCGGCATCATGGGCGGCGGCGGTGGAGCCGGTGGTGCTGGCGGCGGTGGTGGCGGAGGCGAAGCTGACACTG